AGCTGATGTAAGAGGTTACATAATATAAAGACTATTTGTTGTTTCAATCTCATAAAGATTTTGTAAAACTTTCCAAAACTGTGTTAATGGATGTGTTTTCCCAATGAAGTCACAAAAAGCAGAGGAATGTTGTGTATTACCAGTGCTCCAGCTCAGGCTTAAAATGGAGCTGACACTGGTGAGGAATTACTACCTTGGTATTTGACATAAAATGACCAGCAGCCAATATTCCTGAGTGAAAATTCCATTTTTTCACTCACAGGCCCTGAAGAATATGAAACCAAGAAGTGTTGCGGTGATCGGCTCTTTCATGATGCGATCTGGAGCTGTCACTCACGATCCTGCTCATTGACCACCACTGCTGAGCTGCCAAGCTGTTCGGCCAATCATGCGTGAGATGGGCCTGAGCCTGAGGGGTCTTTTCAGTCATAATCGACACCCATGGGAAGAGCTGATGCTGTCCTGGATACATGCGGCTCGTCCTGTGCAGCACAGACCCCCGACTACACACTAACACCAGGGAACCGCCAGCCACCTTTTTTAGCAGCTCTCATGTGGTGGCCATCACTTTGAAATGGATCTGCAGTGATGGAAAGGAGATTCCTATTAGGCCTGTGTGCTCTGTTATAGCTATAAGCAGGGCTCGATTTGAGGGAGGGGGTGCAGAAGGATGTCATCCCCCTGGTCAAAAAAAAAGTCAAAAATCATTAGTTTTAAAACCGTCACAGCCTTTTTACACCTCTTTGGATTAAAGTCATTTCACCTCATATGTCCAGTATTGATATTTGAATTTACCTTTTTTCGAGATTCACCTGTACCAAAGTCCACAATAACACCATAAAGTCAATGAAACACTATCACAAGCCACTTATATTCATAGTTGGCTGGAACTGTTGACCCAAAATAGACTCTAATACCATGGTATTAAAAAAGTCTGATTACTGATGTCATAGCAATTTATTTACAGTTTGAAATGAGAGATATCTAAAAAAATAATATACCTACAGTTCACAACTACCACCCCACCACCCTCTTTCAGTTTATTATTGTTGTTGTTTTGAGCTACTGAATTTGAGAAAACTTTTCCTGTAATTCAGAGGCCCATTTCCCTTTATGCACATTATGCATACATCATGCTCTTAAAAGTAACTTTTTTCTGACACACACTTTTTAACTTTTCCACTTCTTTCCATTAACTATGCAGAAGCACACACACAGGCCGCTGAGGTTCGTTGTAAACAAATTCAGACAGTAATGCATCTACCGACTATAGAGTACATGGACCTTTATGGCCAGTAGCTGATTACAACTGACAGGCCTCTTTCTCTCTCTGCCTCTCCCTCTCTCCCTCTCTGCCTCTCTCCCTTTTTCTCTCTCTCAAGGTGAGGTTCAGACTAATCTGGATCTGTAGAGCACACATTAGCTCTTTAAATGAGAATAGAGACTGCATTAAGCATGGATATGAACAGCCCATTTGAGGTACTGAGTGCATTTCACTGTGTTAAATAGTGTCCACACACACAGTTTGAGTAGTGTGAGCTTTTTCTAAGCACTCTGTCAACAGTGTGGCTTTGAATAGCCCACCACAGGTACTTAATGTGTTTCTCAATTTGAACTGTACTGGAAATAGCACTTACATTAATGTACAAACAAATCCTCAATCTGAGTTTATGTACTGAGAATACAAATTTCAGAGGCCAGCTATAGTGGGGAGCATCATGCATCTTAACTGAGATATTGCTGTATAAATAAATCTCTATATCATTACTTCAGAAACAAAAGCAAAATAGTAACTTTTTAGAAAAGTGAAAAAACATTCTTAATTTTCACTGTGCATTAAAGTAAGTTAATGTGCATTTATCCCAACTAATTGTAGATCACTTGTGGGCAGCTTTTCGTCATTGTCCAAGGAAGACCATGTATCTCCATCTTTATCGATTTTTATTTTTCTACATCATTTCAACATACCTTTACATTGAAACTTTCATGATGAATGGACCAATAGAAATGCTCTAAAATCACTTTGAATAAAACCTTTTCATTAACTTACATTGAAAGAGTGTTTTTGCCTTCTCTTATAAAGTTACTATTTTGGAGATACTTGTTTTTCTTTGGACAGCAATGTTTTGTTTTCAAACTATATATAAGGTTTTGATCTGACAGCCAAAGGAAAATAAGTGACAAAAACAAGAATTTCCAAAACTGGAGTCTGAAAAAATGTTAAAGGATGTAGGGAAAATGGGACTCTTAAGCAAACCTGTCACTATCAGATAAACAGTACTTAGTTTTCATCTTTGAGAGAGAGGAGAAAATCAATCGACACTTTTACTTCAGATCTGAAAAACATCCACAGCTTCTTCTGTCCATCCTTCCACTGTGAGAAGACAACTCAACACTATGAGCCTGAAAGGATGTGTAGCTGTCAAGAAGTCCTTACTGAGAAAAGGAGACAAAATGAAAAAAAGTGTTCTCAGAACAATGGACTGACCACTCCAGAGTCCAGACCTCAACATCACTGAATGTGTTTAGGATTATTCAGCTCAGAAAACGCAACCAACTTCTAAGACTGAACTTTGGAGGTGTGGAAAATATCCCTGCAGATTTCCCCCCTGCAGCAAGTCTCCTGAAAAGACGGGAACATACTAAATACTGTATGTACAATATTCTGTATAATTTTCTAATATATGTTTGCTTTTTCCCCATAATGCTGAAAAATGAACAACTTGTACTTTATGGCCATTTTGACAGGAAATTCAATAAACGAAGGCTAGTCTCTGACTTTTGCACAGTACTGGCTTTGGCATTTCTTTGCTTGTTAAGGCAAATTCAGCTGTCAACATGTCCTAAAAATGTCCAAAGAAACGTAAATAATGCATTATTTGTGTTATTACGTCTACTCAATCAAAAGTGTGCTAACTACTCCTACCGTGTGTACCGTTCTTACAGAGTTACTCCTTTTCTACTAAAAACAGATATGATGTCATTGTGCTGCAGCTAGATCGCTATAAATGTGCCTGGACCATAATTATTCACTGTGAAGTTAACAAGCTCTCAGCTCTCTCTCACACTCTTATAAATAGGTCTGCCTCACAACTGGCATGCCTCTTTAATCACTGCCATTCTACCCAGTCTCGTAAACACATTCAGAAGAGATTTACAAGCATTTGCGTTCAGCTTTGGAATTATTGTCGATTGATTAATACTGCAGTGTTTTAAAATGCATGATGTGACCCAAAAATGCATTATGAGGACCCAAAGCAAGGAAGTATTTGTTAATTAGCCTGCAAAATGTTACACTTTCTGAAAGTATTGACAAACTGAAAGTAGCTATTGAGGTAATTTACACCTGGATCTCGGACTGAATTATTCATAGTAATTCAATCACGCAGATGTGGATAACAAAATGTTTACTCATGTGCGGCAACTCTTTAGAATGTCCAGTTTTATTAGTGAATTGACTGTGTGGACGAGCAAAGTCCTCAGGTGCATTTTGGGGACGTTTCATAAATGTAAAGTGTAAGACTGTGCTGTCAGAGAGTGTGAAACACTGATAATGTTTCTTTCTTTATGTGGATGTGAAATATGATGATTCACAGACAGCCTTGCAGTGCGAGTGCTGGAGCTCAGGTAGACAGATTCCCACAGGCACCACTGCGTGTGATCAGGCAAAGCCCTCTCTTGGCATGCCATCAGATAAACCGCAATATGTTAAGGTCCGTTAAAGCCTGGAGACTGCTGTGGTACAGTGTTAAGTAATGGTTCTACAGCAGGATCAGGTGCTCTCCTGTGGAGAAGCATTCTATATGACATTTAACTTTTAATGGAGAATCTACATTTAAATGCATTCCAGGGCTGGACTTAATCACTGTGTGGGAAGCCAGCCCCAAATGTCCCCAGATGGACCTCAAAGGTAGCAACATAGCACACAGTAATGTAGAAATGGATATAAAACACTTTAGTGTGGTCACTTCTGGTTCTGTAAATGGAAAATGAGAATAATTTATTTGGGTACCCATCAGTTCACTCTCAGAAATAAAGGTATGGAACTGTCACTGGGGTTGTACACTCAAGTGTACATCTCAGTACCTTTAGTCAGGGAGCATAATTGTACTAGAATCCATTGAAATCATATATTCTAAGTTGTATTGACTCCACACCCTGTCTCGCCTCCAGGCTTTTTATTTTATTGTTCTGTTTTAAAACGTTATGAAAAGGTACAAATATGTACTTTTCACCTGGAACATATTTAAGGTTCACAATTGGACCTTAAAACCACTGCTGTACCTTTGAGGGAACATTTATATTGTTTGTACCTTGATGAAAAAAAGTGTACCTGCACAGAACCTTTATTTTTAACACTGTAGATGCTTTTCTTGTCTTTCACTAAATATAAATTAAACTGACTTTCATTTTACCTACTCCCAGATTTAACTCTCACTCTAATTCTAAACTTAACCCAGTTTAGCAGATAGTTTGTTTATCATTTGAACATATGTAAATAATTTATTGGGGGCCATCAATATAAAGTGGGACATGGAAAATACCTGTGAATAACAGACTGCTTACAGAGAATTGATATGAGCAGTCTGAGTGGATGTAATGAGCATATTGAGTCATTTCATTCAAATTCATTCATTTGAAATATGGTGGTTAAAATACAAATATGAAATATTAAATTATACATTAATATGCATGTACAACTAATCATGCCATAATTCAATAAAACTGTCTCATTTATACATTTAATTGTAGTTTCTGGTAATACACACAGATACAATTCGATTTTGTAGATTAAGAAAATAGAAACATGAAAACTAATTTATAGCACATTACACTGTAATATACTACAATATCAGCTGACAGCAGCCCCATCAAATAACAGAATTCATTTCAAATTAATTTTAATCATTAAAACTTCAGGTGGTTCGGCGAAATAAGACAATTCCCACCTTTCCACCGTTATGACGCACACAAATCAGAAGGAAAACATTTCCAAAATGATGTCCAATATTTAATTTATTACATCAAACATGATACATTATAGATACGAAACAAACAGCGCGTCCGTCTTTGCAGTGCGCCTTCACCAAATAATGAAGAGTCCAGAAGCGCAGCACTGCAGCGGACCCTTAACTCAGCTCCGCCTGAACCTGCACAAGAAACACTGCACATCACTGACTTCCGCAGCTGCACAAAACCCCCTAAAAACCCTTAAGTGATTTAAAAGTGAGTGAGCTGCGTAAATAAATCCCTCAAACTCATTTTAATGGTGATCTTTAATGATTTCTTTCAGCTCGCCGCACGTCATAAACCATCTCTGCTTGGGTTTTCCTGATGTGAGACAGACAGATGGTGAAGAACGTTTACCAAACCATTAAAACTAAATATCACACTAAATTGTGCGTGATTTGGTTTTATTTCTTTAACTGAAGGTATCAGCACAGTCAGCGGTCACGGCGAGCTGACCACCTCCACAGTTAGCAACAACTGGACGTTTATGTGAAACTGTTGATGCAGGAAAACTCTAAGATAGTACCTACACATTCATTTAACTTTTCATAAGGGAAATCTAACCCTTCAGGTGGTCATCTTAAGGAGTTTGTGTTGTTTCCCGCTGCCTGGTGGACACTGGCGCTGAAGTCCGTGCGCGCTCACGGAGACACAGATCTGACAGCCGCTCTGCGTGCACAGACAGACAGACAGACAGACAGAGAGACAGACGGCGAGTCCCGCACTTCCTCCGTCTTCACTAGGACGGGACCGTAGGGGCGAGTCGCGGGGCAGAACGAGCCGCTGCCCTGCCCCCGTGCCCGTGCGTAACTGCCCCCTGGTGAAGGGCAGGTGGTGCTAATAGGCGCCCACTATGACCGCCTCCACCTCTTTGGACGGCCTCCGGTCCGTCACCAGAAAGTTGATCATGCCCTCCGACTTGATGAGCAGGTTGCAGCCGAGGAAGAAGATGCCGAAGACCACGGTGAGCGAGAGCACGCACATGACGGCGATCTGGACCACGCGCATGACGAAGAGAGTCCGCTCGTCCGGCGCTGTGGCCGAGAAGCCCTCGTCCGTCACCACCGAGGAGAAATTACAGCAGGCGAACACATCCGCGCTCCGGTTGGGAAACGCGCCACCGCCGTCCGTCTGGTTGAGCGCGGAGGAGTTCATGATGAGAGAGAGAGAAACACACCCAGAGGGTCTCAAAGTGTGCCGGCTGCCTGAGCGCAATCCTCGAGTTCCGAATCAGGTGAAAAAGTGCAGAAGAAGTGGAGTAAAGTGATGGAGAGTCAGCCGGACAGAGCTTCAGAGAAGATCTTCTGAGAGCATGATGGACCAAGATAGGTGTCAGTAATAAAGGCGGCTGCACTGGGATATTAATACGAGTTGGGTGTTTCCTCACTTAGCATTCCAGTAAACCCCGCCCCCTGCGCTGGGATTGGCTGATAGCAGCCCGCCTCCTGCGCTCGGATCAGTTATTGGTTTATACTCACAAACTGCGGACTGCCTGCGAGTGAACTAGCAGCCAATCCGAGCGCAGAGGAGGCGGGGCTTGTCTGAATACGGGTGGGGAAAAAATGAAAACGCCTCGTGGGTAAAAGCGTTCACGGTGTGATGGCAAAGATGGTGTGATGTGAGTGAGCCAGCACCGCGGAAAGTCTCGCCAAATGGCGCCACCTAGAGAGAGATCACGTTTCTGTCCACAGGTGGGTCCCGTTCCCCATTGTGTTAGGATTTACAGAAGACCACAGTGATAAATCAAAACTTTCACGTTTAGTGCATATCAGTAACTAAACACTGACTGTCCTTTCGCTGCACAATTGGACTCAGAGAACTGCAGTTTTATTACAGCTCACACAGCATCTGTTCCCTCATGAACACATTTTATATTCTCTGCTCTTCTTCCACACTATAATAACCTCCCACTGCAGAAAAGATGTCTTACTGTACCAACCTGAAATCAGATTCACTCACATACACCCACAGGTCTTGCCTTTAGCTCAGCTGACATTTCCCTCTCTCTCTCTCTCTCTCTCTCTCTCTCTGTTTCTCTCTGTCTCTCAGAAGATGTACGTCTTTCTATAAAGCTCTTTTAATGGTGGAATCTCAGCACCCGCATACGTCTCTAAGACGTCTGAAAAAGGTCGGTACAGCCTGTTAGACGTCTGGGTGATGTCTGTGTGAGGACCTGGAACTCACTCGAGCTCTAATTGCCACAAATTGAACGAGAAGAAACCACTAATGGCCAGCAGGTGGCGCTTTTGTTCGTGACTGCAATTCAGTCGGCCACCAGATGGCCCTGTTTGGCTGCATTACTGTACTACAGACTTCACACAGACACCTAAACCAGGAGTTCAGTCTCAAAAACCTGTTCCACACCTGCTTTCTTACTACATTACAGATCTAAACCGCTTTAAAAACCTTAAATATTGAATTCTTCACTTTGCAGCAGTTTGTTCATTATCAAGGAATATGGTATGACATACGTTATTACTCTAAAAGATCCCTTCATGCTGCAGCACCATGTAGCCTATAATTTGATATGATTTGATCTCATTTTGCTGAGAAATTACAGTATGTTTTTGAAAAATATAGCTACAAAAGCAAACTTGTCATCTATGAACTGAAGTTTGTTAATGGTTCTAGCAGGGAGACTAGTGAAAAGTGAACAGTGCTTATACATAGTTGTAAATATATACATACATCATCTAAACCGCTTATCCTTCTGGGTCGCGGTGGGGTGCAGGAGCCTATCCCAGCTGTCATTGGGCGGAAGGCAGGATATACCCTGGACAGGTCACCAGTCCATCGCACGGCAGACATACACAGTCACACACACACACACCTAGGGGCAATTCAGCATGTCCAATCAGCCTGACTGCATGTTTTTGGACTGTGGGAGGAAACCGACGCAGACACGGGGAGAACAGGCAAACTCCACACAGAAATGACCCTAGTCGCCTGGCCGGGAATTGAACCCAGGCCCTTCTTGCTGTGAGGCGACAGCGCTACCCACTGCGCCACCGTGCCGCCCAGTAAATATAATATAAATAAACAAAAATTCACTGACCACAGAATCAAGTTTTTGCAGTGGCTATGTTAGCTCTATGACCTGAGGCTTAGTTCGGAAATCTTCTGGTAGTCTTATGCTGCCACATATCCTAACGAGATTCTCAAGACCTTTGGATGAATAACAACCCTCAAAATCACAGATCTGGGACTATACTTCACAGAGCGGATATCGTTTTTTTCTAGATATCCTTTTTTTTTTACTTTTTTGATGCCAAATTCTGGTGTTTGTTGACTAAAATCTCTTTGTTTCTAATTTAATTATATTCCATATAATCTGTTTCCAATCAAGCTCCCATGATATTCATTAAACTCCAAGTATGTACATTCTGAGGTCGATTGACAAACGTTTTTATTTGGTAAGCCTTTTAGTTTCTTTTTTTTTTGCCATGTAGTTGTGTCTAATTGTAGTGTCTAACTGTAGTGTCTTGGTAACCCAAGATGTAACCAACTCCTCCTGTTGTCCATCTGTGGTCCTTGGAAAAAGTTGCTCATCACAGCTCCGGTTGTGTGAAACATCTTAATTATTGCCCTAATACCAAAGATTGGTGGTTTTGGTTGTGAAGCTCCTTTTTACCTCCTTAAAATCCCACAGTTGTTACATACTAAGGCTTATTATTCAGTAACTATTACGCAGAGACTTCAGTGCAAACTGGATGAGCTATTCTTAGGTCATAGAAGTGTGTAATAAAACTTTGGGCCCTGGCCATTTAAGGGGTTAATGGCCATAGCTGGATTTATGGAGGGAAACAGCCTCATGTCTCGTGTCATTTGTGTATTATCTGATCTTCCCCATGTTGATGGATGACTGTTTTTATCCGTGGAACTGAGTATGTTACACATTCTTAGTGGCAGAGCATAACATTCCTTGGCAAACTTAGTACAGCGTTGATATGAGTATGTAATGTTCCTGACAGACTAGAGCCAGCAGTCTCTAAGCTTTCTGCGAGCTCTAAAATTCACTTCATCTCAACAGTTATGAGTTTCACATATTATTTTATTACGCACACCAAATGCCTTCTGGTGTTTTGGCTTACACTGGTATGATATCCGGAATCAACATCATCTTGTATTTTGATGTGCATCAAGCAAAAATATATGTAGGATAATTTAACATGTTTTAATTCATATACAACATAAACAAACTCTAACGATCACGTGTTCTGTTATTATGAATATTAAGAATATGAAGAATGCCTTCTCAGAAGGCACACTCCTCTGTACCAGTGGATTCATGGGATTAAACAGTAGACAGTTTGCAGATCCTGATTGAATGTAGTATGGTATTCAGGCACTTTGATCTACTATTTGATGAAGACTATCGTTATGGATACAGTAACTGTTTAGGATCACTATTTTGACATAGCGTTTAGAGAAGGGTCTGACTGATATACCTGATATATGCACTTATATGTATGTATTGACCTGATACACATACTTATTACCAATATGTGTATTTATTATTATCTGCAAAAACTGACAATAAAAACTGATACAACTTCAAAGTTGCAAGTTTATATTGTAATAAATGTCTTTAATGTGAGGAAGATCACTTAATTTTAAGAACTAAGAAATTAGTCTCATGTTCTTCTCAGGCAGTAGCTAAGGATCTTTGTATGGATTATTATTACAGCAATACAGATTGAACTGGTAAATGAACCCAAAACACCACCATAATTAAAATAACAAAAACATACAATTATTTGACAATTCAAATCACATCAGAATCACATCAGCCAGAAAAGCACTATTAACTTAAACTATTGATGTTGTTTCATTTCAGACCACATTAAGTTATATCCACTGATAATTGTGGTTATTTGAATTATTAGAACCTTAAAATCAGTATCTGTGTCAGTGACAAAATGTTCATATCGACTGGGCCCTAGTTTAGAGTAGAAGTGGGCAATCTCAAATACTCCTATTGTAAAGGAGTTTTACTTGTTTACTACAGTGAAACAGGAAGTTAGTCTTTAGTCAGGAGGGATGGCCACTTGACTGAAGACTAAAGTGTACTTTAAAATATAGATAGTGTGGAAAACTGTTAAGTCATGTAGTTTTATCATCAAATTTGAATTTTATAACATTTTACAATATGTTTATGTTTCTATCAACACAATAATTATAGTAAATAAAATCTGTGCTGATACAGTTCATAGATTTTCTTCAAAATTATTACATATGTGCTTTGTAAAAAAGGTTTTATTTTTGTTTGAAAAATTTTTCCTCACTGAAAAGCATTTATTTTCCATGCAGGACCTTATTTGAGTGAAGGTAGCTTTTTTAGGGTGCCAGTAATTTTGGAGGGCATTATTTTTGATACTTAAAATTTTACAAGATAACAGACAACTATTATAACTAACTAACCAACTATTATAGTGTGCCTTCTATTTTTGGTCAGACTTCCTTCACTATAGATGGGTTTCCTGTTTACAAACACTGCTTGGTGCGCACGCAGAGGGCAAAACCGCTTTGGTATCTTAGCTGCACACAAGATTGTTACATTAGGCAACTGGTGTGATCAACATAGACTTCACAAGGTTTGTAAATTGTTTACTTAGTAAAACACCATTTCAGAGTTGGATCAATTTGTTTGTCTTTCATTTGTATATTAATATAGTTTTATGTAAATCCTTAGCAAAAAATATTTGACTATAGTCCAAATTTATGGTTTGCTGACACGTCCAATACATTTTGCACAACTAACCTGGCTTTGTTGTTTGTTGAGCCTGTCATCCTCTCCTTATTTGACAATTTCAACAGTTTGGTGATACCGTTAAGCAAATGCTGTGTTTAGGTACTCATGAAAGGTTTTATATATAAAAGATGGTTAACTAGTAAATACAACTAAACTCCATTTTGGTGTTTGTTCATAGATATGTCCATCTCACAGCATGCAGGTCTGGAGAATACAGTGCAGCACGTGTGAAATGTTGAATACAAATCATTGGAGTCACAGTATTTATAAAACGTGGCATTTCTTCATCAGTTCTAAGTTATCATTTGTCAGAAAAAAATAACATCGTGACTTATCGTTATAAACTTCTTAAAGTATCGTGATATTACGTTTTCCCATATCGTCCTGCCCTAAATCTAACCCAGTCCTGTCCATGAAAGTGTGGATAATCTGGCCTAATAGAAACTGCCTGCGTCTTCCGTGCACTTGCGCGTTGACGTCATGACGGACGCGCGTTTTCTCCAATCAGAGAGCGCGGCTGGTGCGCGAGCCAGTTTGTAAGCGTTTCTCCTCCGTCTCCATCCATTAGGGTTAGCTGCCTCTCCGCTCCCTCACAGACCCAGCGCGTGGACATATCCTGCCTTTTAGCTGTGCATATCAGTTCTGTGGGCGCCGGACATCCCTGCGGCTGCTCTGCGACCTCTCACCACACGAAGACCCTCCGCCGTGAGGAGGAATGCATGTAAAGCATGCAAGGGCATGGAGCCAGCAGCAGCACCGAGCATCGTCCAGTAGTGAGAAGGCTAGCCAGTGAGGTGAAGCTGGTCCTCTGCATTAGCGAGCCATTTCTGATTCAGACACATCTCCAGCACACGTTAAGCCTTTTTGCGTAGACAGCCATCAGCGGTAGATAAACATTGGTAGCTACGTGACCTGAGCGATGCTTTCCTCCTCTGGGATTAACGCCGTGTTATCAGGACCTCCACAACCTATTGAGAGCGATTTGTAATTAAGGGAAGGCAACCAGATGCAACACGTTGCTGGCTGACTAGCTGCACTACCAGGACCTCAAGGTGTCATTCAGCCCCAGACTTTGTTCAGTAAGTGTGTCATGTTCATTTGACGAATTGCTTGCTACTAAAATCTGAGTAAAGCAGGCAGGTGGGCAGCTTCATGAAATGTTTTTGATGTATATATAATGGTAGGCTACCAGCAGAGTCAGTCAGTTAAGGGTGCCAGGGGTGTTAAAAGAATGAATGCGGGTTTTTATAGGTCTTTTTCTGATGATGTCATGCATTAAAAACACTTCAAATCTATATTTTGGACCACATATGAGACATATGATTGATAGTTCATCTGTGCTTTACAGTGCACGGACTGGGACAAACCTTACTTACCAAAGATGCTCCATTCTCTGCCCAGCAAGCATGCTGCCAAGTGTGGTTTACCCAGACTGTGCATGTGTGGAGAATGCTGAAATCTCTGCTTGTGCTCATAGACTTAACATATATTATACAAATGCAAATTGTATAATATTAGTTAATCATGGTCAGTCAGGCAGCCTTAGTTAGGCTTATAAGGTCAGACATGTTCATATGCATTAATAGTTTACTGTGTCCTCTATGATGAACACTTAGAACCGGTCTTTTGGGAGAACTCAGTGAACTAATCATGTGGGACAAAGAGCAGACGGGACTGTTATGAGGTTCAAGCAAAATATTCATGTCTGCCTGAGCTGAGGGAGAAAGGAGGAATGTCAGTAAATGCAAGAAGGATGTAAACAAACTTTAAGGCAAAGTAGCTCAAGAGACTAATACACATGTTCAGATTTTGGGATCAAGTCTAATGTCCACACATCCAGGACCGTTAAACTGTGATGCTTTTCTTTTGAAATTGAACCTATAACCCACCAGATATCGGTTGACCTCTTAAAACCCAGCCTTATTACATTATATTGTTATTACATCATAACTGAGTGACTACATGGACTACAATGCAAACCGACTGAGCTATTCTTAGGTAATGCAAGTGTGTAATAAACGTTTGGAGCTGCTGGTAGGTCATGGTCATTTAAGGGGTTAACTTCTCCTTCCAACTGAGCAGTGCTTCTTATTGTTCCCTGATAGCCCTGGACTTGAGTACTTGGACTAAGACTGATGGGAAGAGATCAGGGTAAGCTGTTATCTCGTCTTCTCACCATTAATCCAAGTATATCATTCAGCCTCCTACACTGTAAATTATGGTTCGTCAGTTCAAGAATTACTTCACGTGGTAACAAGCTGTTTAGCTGGTTTCAGTCAACTTAAATAAGTCTAATCCCATTTACAAAAAAGTTGGAATGCTGCGCAAAATGTCACTAAAACAGAATGCAATGATGTGCAAATCATTTAAACTCTATATTAAATTGAAAATAGTACAAAGACAACATATCAAATGTTGAAACTGAGAAATATTATTTTGAATTTGAAGCCACCAAGATTTTACATTGATTCCAACCTTGAAAACTCTTCACATCAACTTCCACTCTTTTGAATCCATTTCCTGAATTCAACTACAATGTCCTTAATTCGACTAACTGATAGAAAGACTTAAGTGGCCTATGTAGATAATGTTGTGGGCAGCCAAACCCCTATCCTGAATTACCGCAGCATTACACAGTTTGGTCCTGAGCCAATTATGATAGCTTTCACGATGTAGAATCAGGTGTGATGAATCAGATTAAGATTAAGTCTTAGATTGAGACCAGGGTTTAAACATTTTGAGTGTTTATATATTCTTGTAGTCACACTATCTTGCTAATCTGAGAAGACAGATTTTGAAATTCTTAATTGCTAAACGAAATTGTGTGTCACAGTATATTACTAAAAGACCGGCTCATTGTGGCGTTGCATTGCTTGCAAATTAAAAAGATCTTGTTGACTCTCCAGCAGTGAATCACATATGCGCCGGGCCCCAGTGTTCACTGAAGTGCCCTCTTAATTAAGATGCAGTCGATGCAGTTTTCAGGTTTTGAGTTACAGGAAACTAATGATAATGGCTTCGGGGTCTCAGAAACAAGGTAACAGTACACCAGCAGTATGTAAATGAAATGATTCCCATTTAAGATTAGAGGGATAAGGCCTGTAGGCTACTTTGCACCTTAATGAAACTGAGGTTCGAGGTTGTTACACTGTAGTCGTTTATTACACCTAAAAGTAAAAAGAAAATATTTCCAACTGATTAGAATAGAAAATAAAACAAAATGGGATTGTTTTGTTCCTCTGTGTACAGGTTTGTATACGTAATTGGTTTTCCATCTGCTGGTGTAGTCGTGCCTGTGCTAGGTCGGTCAGGAACAAAACAAAAGGGGGACTGTTGTGAACACAATGTCGGAAATTCAAGAAGCATGTTAATTGCCACTCTTGGGTACTCGTCTAGCTCCACCAAAGCCCAGTGTGTACATATATTGGTTCCAAACCTGTGTTTACAATTCCTGATATTATTAATTAGGTGCCTGTCTTTGTTGAGGTGGAGAGCTCATTAGTGAAATTTTGCAGGGTTGAAACAAATTTGTGTAGACACAGCTCTCTTCAGTCCAGTGCTGTTGCAGGTATTAAACACTAATCCTTCACGGCTGCATGGTTTACAGCTTTTCCTGTTCTAAAACACCAGGCTGAACTCATGAGCAATATGACAATTAGCTAATGATGAGAATAAAAAGTGTTAAAAACGTTAAACTGTGTCGAGCTGTAGCCCTAACTTTGGAGCGGGACCTTGACACACTTGCTCTAGATGATAATAAGTTATGTGATGTGAAGATCAAGGACAGCCACCCTGGAGCTTTACAGTGTAACTGCAGAGTAGTTAAAAACCACAACGCAAAGGCACCAATGACAATCATTTGCTGTATAACATAAATAAAATAACATAAATAGATAGAAAAATTACTTAACAAAAATTTGACATTGGACAGATGTTTAGATTGGGGCTGTCAAACGATTAAATTAATTAATTGTCATTAATCACATTCTTTTGTGTAGTTAATCGTGACAGTTTGACCTTAAATAGGGTTTTTTCACTTAAAAAAGCGGTTCTGCATTATACTGCTGCATAACATTTTGGTTAGAAGTGAACTGTGGCATTCCAAATTGTTTTTTATTTTGTTAGTTTGTCTCCCATGAGTAATTTCAAGCGTAGTTTGTTGAATTGCTGATATTGCCACCATCAATGGTGTGTTTTGCTTGTAGATTATACTGCTGGCGCTTCATAATTCAGTGATAAATAAATTAACAGCATTACGGTTGCTGGAAATAACTTTGGTTGAAAAGCTGTATTTGAATGAGAAGCCTAATGCCATGGAGTCAGTTATAACAAAAAAAAACAAACAACAAAAACAATATAAAAAGAAAATAACTAGAGATAATCACTAGTGTAAAATATTAGTGACCAATATTTCAAAACAATATTTGCTAAAAGATTTATTGTGCTAAGAACATTTAGATGACAACGGGCTACTACAGTAAAATGTCTATATTTTATTTAGTGAACTTTGCTGTGTAATATTCTAAAAATAAATGAAGTAGCTACATACATACATCTGGAGCCCCAAGATTGACATATGGATGGCACTACAGTGAGCTATTCCATTTATGTTTAGAACAATATATACAATATATATAACAATATATATCTGCATCAGCCCACAATTCCCATAGCAGTGCATTCCTAAAAAAAGTACGGCTGAATTTTTACAATTAGAGTAATAACTAAGCTAAAAATCAATAACAGACTTGCTGAGACCTTGAACACAGTGTGCTATTCTCTTACAGCTTGTTCACCGTCAATTAAGAGCTTACAATCCAGGAAAATCTTTGCTGCTCTGACGTGCTCCAGTACTTTGGAGGTTGATGATTATTATCAAAAGCCTGTAGAAAATGTGAGGCACTCATCATTATGATGCTATGAGCAAGCATTTGTGTTCATTGACATATCACAGAAAATGCCAAGGACGGTCGTACACATTAGAGTGCTTTAAAAAGCTCAGTAAGATGAAATCTTTAGTGTGATTTGTGATTGTAATGCAGGTCAGTGCTGTTGTGCCACTGTGCTCAGCAGACAGTGAAAGCCCATCCGTGCAGATGGCTGCTCTAATAACCCTGGCTTTCCGGCAGGGACTCAGGAGTACAGCCCAAGCCTATGGCATGGCTGGTGGCACTACACCCGTACACAGCACTGGGCAGCCAAGCAGATGGCCAGAGAAACAAACAGGATCACATTTGAAGCCTCAGTCAGAATGTGTGTGTGTGTGTGTGTGTGTGTGTGTGTGTGTGTGTGTGTGTGTGTGCAAGAGAGGTAATTGTCTGTATGAGGTGTGGTAGGTTCAGTGCTGTGCTTATTTTTATAGTATGAGACATGAAAAGTTTTCAAATTGCCACAGGAGGTCTGCTGCAATTAAAATGTAATTCCTCAAACAACTATGCCCATCTCTTTTAATTAGAGCAGGAGCGCAGGAGGAGAGAGAAATGGGGGGAGTACATGGAGAGAGTCAGAGAGAAAGAAGGAAATGAGATTATTAGATTTCCCTCCCGAAGGATTTTGAGGGTGGGGCTTTACAATGACCAGTGCTATGGCTTTCATCCTGCAGACTGACCTCACTTTTACCTTTTCCAGAACTGAAACATTTGGTGGTGATCGCTTTGTATGATGCTTCTATTAAACTCCAAACGTTTAGCATTGCTAAGATGAGTTTAAAGTAGTTGATTTGTGGTGTGAGGTTTTATAGCATCAACCACGTATAGCTTCAGCTTGGTGAATATAAAATCAGAAATGTCTCGGGTAAAAATAACACAAGACCACTTCTTTTTTTCCAATACTGATACTGAAACTTGAGGACTGGCCCATACTGATAATTATCATATTGTTTTTCTTTACAAGCTGCTGAGCTTTGGTACTGCTAAACCTCTATGCTGCTAATGCACTTTTTTAATTAAAGCGCTTGGCTTAGGATGGCCATCTAAATGTGCCAAGCTTGTACTGCTCATACACTGAACAACATGACTTGTAAAAAACCAAGATGCATGAAAGTAAGTCTAATTTTTTCATTTTAACACTGTTATATACCAACACCAGCTACTACCACTGCAACTTAACTAGCACCTTTGACAAAGCTTGCTGGTTTGGGGGTATTTTGGTGAGTTTGCCATGATGTCAGTTCATGCAGCATTTTTAGCTTGAATTTGAATTTTGACAAAATATTTCATTATTCAGAAGATCCAGTGACATTTGTAGGAAAAATATACACAGAACACAATATGTCGGGTTTAGAACATAAAGAATTTAGGTAAGGCATGGAGTTCCCAATATGGCATGACGCCGGCTACAGAATGATGACACGACTTTAGGGGCCAATGTCAGCAAAAAGCGCTGAATCCGATCCAAGCCTTTAACAAATCTGTCCTGAAATCTGTCCTGAAAGCATCCTCTCACATTGTGTAATGTAAGTTTGTTACCTGCATATTTCTTTCTTTGGGTTAGTAGAGTGTTTGATTAGTTTCTGTGTGATACCCTACTTATCTAATATGAATTGATTGAATTAGAAAAAGATCATATAAAGCCGACAGCCGTTACTCAAAGGTGTTGGTATTAAAAAGAAAAAGAGGTATTGTGCCATCTCTAGTTGCACTGCTAACAATTCTGTTGTAGTTTAGGTTAGATTTATCAATGAATCGGAAATTATTTGTGCTTTTTTCTTCCACATTATCCAACATTTTAACAGTACTGGGTTTGGAATGGTGCCATCTTTAGTCTGTGCCTTAATTAATTTGTTTTGTATTACCATACATTTCTGCTGAGGAATAAATGACCAGTGTTGGAGCCTGCGAAGCCTCATTTGCACTAGAATCTTATATTGAATGTGTGTGATTTGCTCCTTTCAGTGTAACACATCACCATTCGACCGTGTCAAAGCTAATACTCAGATCGTTGTGCTTTCCTTCTTCAGTGGGATGAGGGCCTCCTCTGTGTGCTGCTGTATCGCCCCTGCGCTGTCTGGCCTGTCCTCTCTCCCTCCCTCTGCTCTCACTCTGGGCTCCTGACGCCTCTCAGGGCTCATGCGGCGTTTCGTCTACTGTAAGGTGGTGCTGACCACCTCGCTGGTCTGGGTGCTGGTGGACGTCTTCCTGCTGCTCTACTTCAGCGAGTGTAACAAATGCGATGACAGGAAGGACGGCTCCCTCCTGCCTGCTCTCAGAGGTCAGTCAAACCTCACTGTCCTGTTGGTTCTCTCTGTAGGGTTAGTTTTTGTTTTGTGGACAGCAAATGAAATCTGGGATGTTTACCAATCAAGTAAAGCAATGGGAGTGGTGATAGAAGTGCAAAAAGCCCTCAAAAATCTGCAAGACAATAATGACATAGCAGAAAAAGGCCCTGGTTTTGCTCAGCAGAGTCTTCAGAGGGGTGAGTGGATCAATTAGACCTGTGTTGATGGCAGCATTTTGTGATGTGGGTGTAGACAACAGACAATAGCTGCTCTTTCTGCCTCCATTTTCCTCTGTTTTTCCTGATGCCTCAGAAAAAAATCACTGCACTTTCTTGTTAAAAGGTAAAATGTGAGTGACAGATACAAGTGACATGCAACACAATATCCCATAACCAGAATGAATCCAGCACTGCAGTGGATCTCATTATAAGTGAAATCGCTGCCTGATCTTGTCGTTGAGGTGCTTAGCACCTCATCTAACTACACTGCCTGTCTGGACACCTGTTCATCCAGTGTTTCTTTTGAAATCAAGGGAATAAATAGAAAGTTTGTCCCCTCTTTGCCGCAGTAACAACCCCTCTTCAGGGAAGCTTTACACAAGATACTGGAACATTGCTGTGAGGATTTGATTGCATTCAGTCACAAGAGCATAAGTGAGGTCAGGTACTGATGTTAAATGGTCAGTTCTGGATCACAAACTCCACTCCAGCTCATCCCAGGGTTCATCAACCCTCAGCCTCATAGTCACTTGGCTGTGAATTATGAATCAGCAAAAAGTAGGAAAGTACTCATGCGCTTAACATGATGCATCAAATTCAAGGGTTCTCTCTCACTGTTCACAAGTTCTACTCAATCACACATTGCCCAGGCCTTCTTACATGGAGCAGACACTGTAGGCTACCAAGACACTCTATTAGTCAGTGTTAAAAAGACATTTATAAATAGTGTTGTCTACCTCTCCCTCTGTACGCTTTCAAGTTTTAAACAAGTTGTCTTCCTCTCCTGACTGTAAAATGTCTTAGAACGCTTCCCTGGCAGTGTGGCTTGATGTCTTTGCTAATGCAGTTTGTATGATGAACGACTGCCTGTCTGCTGCCAGTTCCTTGCTGTATAATCCCCAACATAACTGGTTCCTTCACTTTACTTAGATGCTCTTCCTAGTAAATAGGTTTACGACCCGCATGATAAGCGGCTTTTCGGTCTCGAAAGAGGGACAGTCGCAGCTGCCGAGTGGAAAGAGCCTTTTTGCTAATCTACGTGAAGGAATATTAAATATCTGTTATGTTCTCTGTGCTAGTAAATTGATGATGGTTAGGTGTCCAGAATAAAGTTGTCAGAAATGCTTGTGTTAGTCTGCAGCAGGATTTGAAATTATCTGGAAAGCAATTAGGGAATTAAGTAGGCAAATGAGGTCTAAGCAGCCATTGTGCCAAGAAAAGCAGGGCTTAGAGCTGTGACAGTCTGTTACCCATTCACAGTTTTCCTTTGTTACAAAATTGTGCCAGGTGGAAGATTCTGTGCTATTTAGGTCATGATTTCGGTTACAGTCACGGACTGATGCAGATGGAGAAGCAAAGCTCTTGCTTTATATTTTAACTGAACTTCTTATGCGTGATGGCCAACCTATTCCATCATCTCAGATTTTCCAAAGTTTTTAGCCTGATCAGATGGTGAACATGAAAACTAGTGTTAGATTTTCAAGGTCAGTGTAGACAGTGTTTGCACGGGTGCAGTAGGGGCCACTTCCAAGAACAGTTTTGTATTTCATCAGTTAGAAATAACAAATATATTTTTGTTGAGTTATTTTTATCCCTCTTTCCATCTCTGAATTTAGGAGTGCCCATCTACTGCCCATCAAGACTACACATAAGACCCATTTATAGTTAATTGGCCCTGTATCTCCAGCACTCTGATCTGAATCAGTCAGTCTAATATAAAATAAGAGATGTACTTTTATTTTTTTTAATAATGTCCTTTAAATTTGTGCTTCCTTTATGTCAAACTGAATTCTTGTGTATCCATGTAGGGGTGGGTGATATGACAAAAATATCATGATACAAAAAGACATTTTCACAGTACATGATACATGTCACAATACTCTGACACACGAATACAGTGCTCTCGTAGTGGCACATTTAAAAACATCTTGGATACACTCTGGATGCAGTTATATTCATTCAATGTTTCACATACTGTGCTTCACTAAATCCCCTTAAACAACACTAATTATGCTCTCTTTATAACATTTGACACATGCACTTACTCAGACTATATCCACAATAAGCATGTTGCTTGTCACAGTAAAATTTAGCACAATAACAATAAAATATTCTCATATCATGTCTGTGACAAAGACCATACACAAATTGAGCCAAAAACACTACAGGGCAGGTTTACTAACACTTTGCACTGTTGCAAACCCTATAAAAAGTGACTGTCGCTGCTCTCTTGCCTGGCTCATTGCCTTATTGCATGTGCATTCATGGGAGCTTCCCTCTCAATGTGCAAAATACTGGGAGGAGATACTCAGACTTACCAAATCTGACTGTGCTATTTAATGCCTGCGAAAAGCTTATCTTATTTTTGATGCTAACATGGCTGTTATTGTTTGTGCCTCAGAAGGAAAAGGAATGCATTAGTTTTTGAAATGCATTAATTTATTTTTGATAAAAAAAAAACAAATTTGTGAATGCCTACCATGTCACATTATTCTGAATTATGTGAAGAAAATAAAGCCTAAAATAGTTTCTATAAAATAATATTTGAAACTGCTGTTCTCTAACATTTCAGGAATATTTTGCAACACTCATCAAAGTGTCTTAATGATCAAAGTATCATCAAAGTGTCTTATAATGATTTGACGCTTTTCTTTTCCAAATAATTGTTAAAAGCACACATTAAAATTGTTTTTGTTTATTATTATTTTGCATGTAGTGCTGCTTCATAAATGTCACAGCCTTTGATAAGCTGCATGTCGCTAAAAGGTTATGCTTACCACAAGTTTAAAATCAGTTTCCAAACAACCAGGATGCACTCAGTGAAATCAAACAAGGAATTTACAACACTGTACAGTCTCCAAATGCACCCAGCACAGAACTCAAGTTCAGCTCATTCCTCCAGTTGGAAATGAACATGTGTTTTGACACAGGAGATCAAAACATTAAAAAAAATTCTATGTGTAAGAAATTGAGCTCCACACAAAAAGCATTTAAGGTGCACACATTGATTGCCATATTAACAGCTTTTTTAATCTCCATAAAAAAGCATGCCCAGTGCCAAGTGTTGGCCCAGCACTGGACTGTAGAGCAGTGGAACTGTGTTCTCTGGAGAGAAGGAGCTGCATCCAATACTTTCTGGATAGGTTAGTGTGGCATTTATGATCCAGAACTGATCATCCAAAATCAGTACCTAATCTGACTAATGCTGTTGTGGCTGAATGCAGTCAAATCCTCGCAGCAATGTTCCTTCATCTAGTGTAAAGCTTCCCAGAAGAGTAGAGGCTATTATTGTAACAAAGTGGGACAAATGCCCTTTAAAGTTTCTTGATTTGAGAAGAAACATTGTATGAACATATGTCTACAAACTTTTGGACTTACAGTGTAGCTCTCAATCTGGAAGTTTCCTCCTGCAGAGATTTTCATTTTCCCCAAATCCAATCTAAGACACCTGATCCACCTACTCCTCGTCTCCTGGAGCAAGGTGTGCTATAGTGGGGGATGGAACTAAACTCTGCAGCAGGGTAGCTATTCAGCAGCAAAGCTGAAGATAAACTCTGCCTAATGTGCTCTTTTAAAGTATAATAAAAAGTTTCCACAGTTTTTTTCTCCTTTCCCATGAAATACATCAAGACACCATTCCTGTTTAAGTCAAGAGTTACTTTAGTAGACATAACACTGGAATTTAATACTTATTAGTAGAGGCTCTGATGCAGTTACTTTATTTTAGGTTTTACACTTATTGATCTTTTCTAGTCTAAACCATCCTAATAAATACATTTTGTAGTGATTAAAAGAGAATTGCAGGCTTATAAGTGAATTAAATAAACAGAAATCTAGAATGCAATGGTACTATGTTTTCCTGGTCCTGTTCGTAGTGCTGCTCAGTGAAGTTTTGAATTTCATGGAGACTGTTGAGATGCAGTGTGTGTCTGAGTGATACATGAATATCATATCAAATGTCTGAGACCTCATTGACTTGTTTTCTACCAGAGCCAGGGCTTATCTATGAGTCATTTTTGCAGATGCACCACCCTAAATTCAACTCAAGCTTTCAGCTGAGAGAAAAGAACACCCTCAGTGTACAGTACTGTACAAAAGCTAAAGACAAACTTTCATTTAATTAATTTCCAGTCAAAACAGCCATTAAGTAAAAGTTATTTGTTTTTCAAAAGACATTTCTAAGGACATATAAGATATATGCTATAAGATAATCTGCTTAAGTAAAGAAGGGGACAATGAAAGGAAAATAAGTGAAGAAACATGGATTTCTAGAACTGAAGTTAAAAAAAATCAGTGTTTAGCAGATGTAGAGAAAATGGGTCTTCTAACAACTGCGCAAGACCTGCTAGAGCACCAAAACAGTCCCCATCAGATAAACAAAAGCTTGCATCTTTGAGAGAAGGGACATCTTTGAGGGAAAATCAAACTCCAATCTTGCTTCAGATCTGAACAGACAAAGAGAAAAAAAGAATAAAAGTTTGCCTTGCAGCTGTTGCAGCACCACCAGCACACCATGAGAGAGCGTTTTCAGGAAAAAGAGCTGTGAAGACTGAGTGAGAGGCTGCTCCTTTCTGCAGTTCCTTTTTCCAGCAACCCGTTTCAGCACAGCAGGTTATGTAGTAACACTACACAGAAGTTTGCTTAAAACAGTGAAATTAAACATGCTTGAGTTTCTGCTCAGAAACTTGTAAGCTAACTTTGTTCTGATTTGGTGTTTTTTGGTATGGTTTTGTATCTTTTGCTGTGGATTTAATAAACTATGCTTTACCTGTCTATAAATTGTGTCTAGTTAAAATAAAACAGCTAAAGTTTCCTGTCAAGTCAGCTTATAGGCTAATGTTATCATAGCTTTCCTTTACTTTGGGCTGTTATTTTTAGGCTAATAATAACAATAGGAGACCTTTTGTATTTCTGTCATATCATTTATGTCCTTGTTCATGTTTTGCAAGGGAAGGTGTTCGGTGTGTAGAACGTTGCAGCACAGCTTTATCTGTTTTATCTCGCGCTGCTACAGAATACTCTGAAGCCAGACAACACATCTAGACTGATATGGACAGAGACTACACATAAAAAAGAAGCTAAAATAAAGCAAAGTTTACAAGACGAATATAATCACTTTAATGCATCTTAAAGCCACAAACAGTGCGTTTTCTGAATAAACTAAACTGAATAAGCTGTACACCAGTAATATCATCTCCTAAGGCATGGCACATTCATGAAAAAAGAATCTCACAGACACAGAATCTTGTATAAACTTGACATTTATTAGCACGCTAGAAACAGACAGAATCATTCCAATAACATGATGTAAACTGGGCCCACTCTTTGTTCTCAAATGTGTGCTATTTTTGGATGTGGCTGCTACACAAGACAAGACAGCAGTGTGTGTATGTGTGTGTCTCTGTGTGTGGGGATATCAGATCCCTCCGCGTCCCGCATAGAAATGATTTGACACTTGGTTAGCCTGAAATGAGAAATAAAGGGCACAGGCTTGTGAAGCGCACCATGCAGAAGTTATTGATAGTTTTTTAGCCAGCCTGTGTTTTCTCTTCAGATGTTGGTTTCTCGTTTGATGTTTCTTCTTTTTTTCTTTCAAATTTCATATTTTTATGTGATACCGAGACATGGCAATACCCCAGATGATTCTAAATAGCTGATTCTTATATTGCAGATATAGTGTGTCTTATGTATTGATCACACATGCATACAATATTTTCCCTTGATATCTCTGCCATGTGCAATGAAGATCAGAGCCTGCGTAAGGCCACCCGAGCTTGTGTTTGCTCTGCGGTTTGTGGAGTAACCCTACCCAACCTTGCCCTCTTCACTAGCAGGTTCATCTCAGCGTCTTAACAGAGAAAGCCATCAAATCAGTCAAGACCTCAGAACACGCTGCTCATCTATGCAGGCTTCCTGTTGAATCCTCTTAGCAGACCTGCTGCAGATGGGCTTACTAACCCATGCAGACCTACAGCCTTACTGCAGGAGGTCGTTAAAGAGATGGAGAGATAAGCCTACACGATGGTGCTCTCTCTAACCTTGGGGTGCTTCTAATGACACAGTTCCATTAATGGAAATCGAATGAATCATAGGGATTTGACACTGATCAAAACAGCTTTACACTTTCAGGATTAAGTTGCAGCTTTTGCACATCAGATGTTAAAACTGTAATGGTCTGATGATTCTTTGCTGCTCTTGTCTTGACTTTCAGTAATTAGGCAGGCTTTTCTATGGGGAACTGAAAACACGAGATTAGTAGCGTCTAATCATGGAGTTATGTCTCAGTGTCCTCACATGAATGGATGCAGATTATCTAATACAAATTGCTATACATTAATCAGGAATATGGAATTTAACAATAAGCATTGTTAAATTTATCAGCCCTGTATCTTCTTTTGTGTGTGTATGTTCAATACCCACAGCTGGCATCTCTGTTCACATCTGATCTGGTTTTTGTTTGATGCTTGGCCCACACTACAGGATAGTCAGGCTGATTTTGAGGCTAATTCGCTCTTCCCAGTGAACACAAAAGGTGTCCTAATTTCAGGGTGGTCTTAAACATTTATCTTCCCAACAGTTATCTTGTCCTGGGGTGCATGTGTAATCCAATCTTAATCCAGTCTACTCACAGCTCAGTAGTGAACCCTTTTGTATGAAATGCACTCTTGGTCTCATTTATGTACAACCAATAAGCATTTATCAAAATATACAATGAGTCGGTAGTGTTGGACTACACAGCATTCTGAATAGAGATTTTTTGTAAGGAAAATGTAGTCAAGGACTTAATCCTTGTGTAGGAAACTAAACCTGTCCAAAACTTTGTAAACATCTGCTTCTTCATTATTTCTTCCTGCAGTAATATCATATACTTTACTGGGAAGCTTTACACTAGATGTAGGAACATTGCTGTGAGGATGTGATCCTCTATGGGATCTGTGATGTTATGCTAGCTCCAAGCTAGCAGTGGGGTACATTCACTTTACCTTATTAAACATTGTAAATGTTTTACTTTTTTTTTTTAAAGTGCGCGGCTAGCACCAGCAGTCTGTGACTTGCTGTCATATGCTATGTTTGTTTTGATCTAATGTCATATTTGTTCACAAGAAATTCTTCAAGATCCTAAGTTAGTCAGGATGGTGGTTCATGAGCTGAAAGTATGTGGTGTTTTATTTTGGACAAATCTGGAACTGTAGCGATTCAATGACCAAAGGGAAATATAAGTGGAATCTCTCACATTTTTAACATTGATTAGTCAGAGAAAATTTAGGATAGAAAATCCTGTAATGTGGGCCAGGCATAACGTGCTTTAGACAGCTACTGTGATAATAGATGTTGACCATACTTTTGCCCATAAGCACAGCCTGACAGTGTTCTCTAAGTATTTGGTGATGATTCCAGTGTAGTGTTTCTGAAAAAAAAAGTTGTTGTATAGCCATGTGTTAGGTTATAGTCCAAGGACAACACATTGTGTAAAATGGATCACTTTTTCAGAAAATCAGGTCACTGCTCACATTCTTTGGCCAAAACATCCTTTTCTGCCTGCTGCCAACACTCCATTTCTTAAAGTTCAGTGATCATGTTGCACAATATCCTGTGGTATTTAATTGGATGATTGTGATGAGCAGCTGTTTTTACCTACTAAATGAAGAGAAGTTAATTTTTTGGCTGCATGGATTTAGTCTGCGTTTTGTTCCTCTGTAAATTCTGTGAATGCTTAGCTAAACTTTTGCATTTCTTGTCCTCTAGCGGTGATGTCTCGTACTCATGAGGGTCCAGGGGAGATGGGGAAAGCTGTGATCATCCCTAAAGAGGACCAAGAAAAAATGAAAGAGCTCTTTAAAATCAACCAGTTCAACCTGATGGCCAGCGACATGATTGCACTCAACCGGAGTCTGCCTGATGTCAGACTGGACGGGTGAGGATTTGGGAGGGAAATCACTTATGATAGTAATAATTATATGTGCAGTTTTATATGTACAAATTTAAACATGATAAATCAGACAAAAAAAGTTATTTTTGGATGTTTTATTCAATATGTTAAGCTTTTTTGGAAACAAAAAGAGGTTTTTGAATGACAAATAATACAATAATTTTATCATAATTTTATTCTTGTTACAGCTTTCTCAGTAATTTTAGAATCATTCACAGCTCTGGTCATCATTCTGGACTAAAATTTCTACCACTTGTGAAACATGTGAAGCTGCACAGGACTAGCATATTAGAACAACATTAATCAGCAACCACATTGGTTTAGTAACATTGAAAACTTCAGTTCCACACTTCTTCTTAGTGATTCCAAACATTTGAATGGTAGTGTACATGTTTGGCTGACAAGCACTGATTTACCCTAAAAATCCTGCTAGCAGCTATAAGGCAGCAGGGTTCAGTCCCATTCCCTTTCTAATTTTTTCAGTGTTTTTTCTGGTACAAAACAAGTTCCAGCTACTGGCTGACATCAAAAAGAATTGGTTATTTTATAAAGATGAAGCTGTTGTATTTTTAGAATAAAGAACATGTTTTCAATATTTAAAAAACAGTCTGCTTATTTAAAATGTTTGCCTTTTTTAAATATCCACCCTCTCTCCATTCCGTTTCTCGTTCAGTATAAAGTATAGTTTTGCTTTTCATCTGATGGGCAGCTAATTTAACCTTTTTCAAAAGAAGAACACTGAGATATTTTTATATATAAAGAAAAATTGCTGTCCTCATCTTAAAGCTTGCATACTGTGAGTGTTTTCTCTCCTGCCAGTGACAGCTAGATGAGAAAGGTCTTTGTTTGCTGAATCCCAAGGCCCATTTGTGGAGCATAATGAAATCCCGCAGAGCTGTTAGGGCGAAACATTACTGCATTCATCTTGGGCTGCTGATTTACTCTGCTGCTTGCCTCTCTAAGAGAGGCATCACTCTTATTCATGCTGATGCTCACTCTTGCAGGCATTTGTTAACATCTGTTTCTCTCCAAATGCACTTTTTCCTCAGTTTACCAACGATGAGGGTACTTCTCTCCAGTTTATTTCAATTTTTCTAAGTGTAATATTTCATTCTCACCGTCTGGTGGAAAACAGTCAGCTGATAATGCTTTAGAAATCACAGCAACAAGCAAAAAACAGAAGCTAATCAACATACATTAAAAAATACTTACAAAAGTGAATAAAGAGAAAAAAGTTGGAATCAAAATAAGTTCTGCTCTTCTGTGGGAGACGGGGCCAGAGTATTGCTGCAGTAATAAAGTGGCATGACCACGATATTACCACCTAAATCAATAATACACTGAACAGAGATTCATTTGGAATACATGAGGCTGTTACAGGCTAGCTTTTAACAAACCACAGGCACAGGCAGTGGGCTGCCGCATGCAGTTTAACGCCGTCCTGTGCCCTCTTTCCCTCATTCTGTCATGCTCTTGGTGTATCAGAGAGGGAGAAGAGGATCCCCGCTGTCCTCTCTGCTCATGTCCCCTCTCTTTTGCTCTGCACTCATCCATCCTCCATCTCTCTCCCTCCATTATCGAGCCGCCTCCATCTCTAATGCAGCCTCATGCCTTATTTAAGATCTGAAAGGGACATAACACCCTCCCCACACCAGTCCCTGTGTGTGTGCTGCAGACTGAGACGTCCCATTGAGCTGAGGAGACTCTGTCCTTGCTGTCAGCGGTTTGGGTTAGTTTTTGGGGAAGAAGGTTGCACATATTAGCTTCGAGTTAGTGAGCATGTCCTTTGTAAGACGCTTTTAATAGGTGCCCTATGTAGAAGGGCAATGTATGCATTCTATGCAAGCTTTTGCTCTCTGCCCTTATGATTACACATGATTCAGCTAATTACAGCGCTAAAGGGGATCATGTCAGCAGAAGCAGGTCGGTTACACATTGCCCAGAAGAAAAGCCCACACTGTAGGGGCTGGCTTATTCATCTGGGATGCAGGACTATTTTCAGTAGTACACCTGAACTACATACACCTAGTTGAAGAATCGTGTCAGCATTCAATAACTATGGCACTATAGTGGTTGCAGTTAATTTTTTGACATATTTTGAAATATCAGCTGGCCCTTACATTGTGTGAAACCTTTATGATGAATAGACCAATAGACATGGTCCAAATTTACTTAGAATAAACATTCATATTAACTTGCATTGAAAGCTAGGAATGTTTTTTTTCTTCCTATGTAAAGTTACCAAGATTCAAGGTTTTGGTCTGATAGCATGAAATGTTACTTTATTTCTTTAATTCTAGCTGTAAGACGAAGGTGTACCCCGATGACCTTCCCAACACCAGCATTGTGATCGTTTTTCACAACGAGGCGTGGAGCACTCTACTGCGCACTGTCCACAGTGTCATCAACCGCTCGCCTAGACACCTGCTGGTGGAGATTCTACTGGTGGATGATGCCAGCGAGAGAGGTAGAGCTGTCTGAATGCTAGCCAGCTTAATTGTGTGTTTCTTCAAGGCGAGTTTTATGAAGCATAAACTCTGAGAGGTCATGCCAGCACTCTCACATTAACTGTGGTTTTGAGGTCAAAGCAAAGAGTGAATGTGAAAGCTTGGTTTACCACACATTTTATTTTCTTTGGCAGATTTCCTAAAGAAGAAGCTGGAGGATTATGTGAAGACCCTGGAGGTTCCGGTGCGGATCTTGCGGATGGAGCAGCGCTCTGGCCTGATCCGGGCCAGGCTGAGAGGAGCTGCTGCCTCCAGAGGCCAAGTCATCACCTTCCTGGACGCTCACTGTGAGTGCACGGTGGGATGGCTGGAACCGCTACTTGCCCGGATCAAAGAAGACAGGTGAGTTTACATGCTTCAGCAAAAGTGGGGCTCAGAAAGGTTAGGGAGTAGAGTAAAGCTTGTTTTAGAGGTTGCATTGCTTCTGGTGGTTGACAGGGAAATGTATTCAGAAGGAGCTGCTGGGCCTTTCCACTGCCATGTAACACAATGAATATAAAGAGAACAGAGCTTTTGTGTTTCTGGTCTGTTTAATCACACACACAGATGAATGTATTATTAATAGATGTTCAGACGGCCAAAGCCATTGCTGTTGACAGAGGTGAATGTGTGATTTTTGTTTATTTGTGTGTGTGGAAGAACTCAAGGCGTATGATTTTTGGCGTCAGTCCTGGTAAGGGTTCACAATAGAACATGACAGCTCTGTGTGCTGAATCACTTTAGCACATCATCACAGATAATACAACATTTTAAAAGTCCTAAAAGGATAACCACTTTTCCAGATATTTAGACAGTGTACTAGAAGATTATCTTCTCTGAATGCTTCACCTTATCAAAGCCCCCTGACTTATGGTTTTCTCTGGTCTAATCTGCTTCCCCATTAGAAAGTGTGATGCAGTCTCTCGCTTTTAAGTGCTTTGCAGCTGTCCAACCTCCATCTCTAATACATTTACATCTGAGCAGCTTAAGGTGCTTTAGAATTGCATTTAGTGTGAATATCCGGTTACACACCCCCAGCTTTTACGTGCTGCCTTTGTGGTTCACTCAAGTCTGCCCTCACATTTTTATAGAAAACTCTATAGACACTCTTTTTATATGTAGGAACTTCTGAAAAAGCAGATGGCGAATGCTTCATTGTCTACTGGGTACTTCTGCATTGCATAAAGAGTTTTACTGCTGACTTAGTTGAATCAGCAAGTATAAGACTGAGTCAGTTATTCAGGCATTGCTAGCGTGATATTGTGGCTGCAACTGGATTTGCATTGATTGTAACTAGTTCTTTAGTGGTGCAACTCATAGCCAGGGGTGTTTATCAAATTAGCATTTCTAGATATATTTGTTGTGAAACAGCAGAGTTGTGAAAGCACTGTAGGCACTAATGTGAATGTATTCAACCTTGTAAAAGCTTCATAATAAATCAATTTTAGGCTAAAGCTCTGACATGGGCTCAGTGCTCAGAGAACTTAATTTCTCTCTCTCTTTTTTTTTTTTTTTGGGGGGGAAAAATGGGAGTAATCCTGGAGCTATATATAGATAAATGATTTACTCTGGGTCTGGTATGAATAAGTGTGCTCAGTTCTGCTAGCAAAGCAGTTTTGAATCACCTGAAATTTGGGATGTTCTTTATGAGAGGCTTTACACAGCTTGATAGCAGGTAGAGTGAGGTCACCTAAATCATTTGTATAATACGCTTCAACCCTTTTTTTAATACCGTCCCAGTAGACTCATTTCTTTGCCCGAAATGACCCAAATCCTGTTTATAAGGGAACAATCAATGCTGTTGCAGGAAAGCTGTGGTCTGCCCCATCATTGATGTCATCAGTGATGAGACTTTTGAGTACATGGCAGGCTCGGACATGACTTACGGAGGGTTCAACTGGAAGCTGAACTTTAGGTGGTATCCAGTTCCTCAGAGAGAGATGGACAGACGCAAAGGAGACCGCACCTTACCTGTCAGGTGAGGACCAATGACTTCATGTAATAATCATCCTACACGCTTAGGCAAAAACGTTGTATATAGTACCACAATTGTTGTATGGCATGCAACAAAAGCAGAACCCTTTTTGGGGGGCTGTATAGAACCATTTTTTGAAAAAAGGTTCTTTAAACACCCATATACAACAGGTTTTTCATTATAGAGAAGAACCATTAACCATTCAGAGAACCATTTATAAATTCAGACGATTCTTTGAGGTGTCACAGTTCTGTATATGACCATTACTTTTAACACAGAACCCTTGAAGAGCCATTATACAAGGGAATAGATAGGATTCATGCTCTCTTCATACTACAACAAACATATGTTTTGATTTTACACACATTTGTGATATATTTGATCCAGAGGTGTCGACCTCATGAGGACATCAGAGCTGGTATAGCCATGACAGCATATATGTTTAACTTAAAGTTTACCTTAAGAACTTAATATTTATTCTTATCAACAGGTTCCAAAAATGGCAGTATTTTAAATGCATCAGCAGAAAATGCCACCGACAACGTTCCTCAGTGAGCAATTACAAGAATTTCAAATATTTCACCCTCTTTGGTGCATAATATCATCAACAGATTCAGAGAGTCCAGAGACATCTCTGTGCATAAAGGGCAAGGCTTAAAACCGCAACTGAATGCCCTTGACGTTCAACCCCACCAATGGCACTGCATTAAAAACCGACATGCAACGCCACCAACTTCTCTGGGCTTGAGCTCATCTGATAAGGGCTGATGTATAGTACAAACATGTACTGTGGTCTGATGAGTCAGCTTCAGATTGTTTTAGAAAATAATGGACGTTGTGTTCTTTGGGGACATCCAGATTTTTAAAGACGTAAAGTTCAAAAGCCATGGTCTGTCATGAGGGTAATAGTGGTTACGTTTATAAGGAAAAACATCAAATATTGTGCTTTTGTACTGTTTTTATTTTAATGTGGATCAAGTAGAATTTGCTGATCACTGCTTTTTTTTATATAAATGTTCAATCGTTTGTTTTAATAAACATATTTTATTTCATAAGATATAGAGTCATTTACAGAAAAAAATACATACTGTTATGAATAAGTCTGTACTTCATTTATGTTTATATGTTTGTGTGTATGTGACTAGAGATTGCTTATTTATCATGCAGTGAATGCACTGCAGTTCTCAGTACAGCCACCACCAGAGGAACTCTGACTGTGAGGTTTTACTGTTCCGCCCATATATTCAGCCCAATTTAGCAACTCTAACACTCACAGCGCGCTCAGCTTTCAGGTAATTTACACATTTCAGAGTGAGTCTTTAATGACGGTGGAGGACAGCTGGAGGAAGTAGTGAGTCATTGTCTTCAGGAAGGCTGAGTGTGTCACTGATGACAAGTCCAACTTTTGTACTGGAACTGTCTAGTGCTGCTGGACTTCTCAGTTTGCTTTGCAGGATACTGTCTTTCAGACAAATATAGTGTCTTTCAGGACACCTGACTTTAGCTGTAGTGCTCAGGTCAAATGTCTCATTTCAGCCTCTAAAGAAATTTGTGCTGTAATTTCTCTACTTATCTACAGTTAAGAGAATATGTAGATTAAAGATAGATTTTTTTATCTCACCATACTTGGAAAACTCTATGTGTTCCTGAGTATTTGCACATAATTGTTCCAAATGGCTTGAGTTATTGTGTTCAGTGACTAATCACTCATTTATCGTTATACATCAGACTGAATCCAAAGTCTGAGATGCATTCAATGCAGGTTAGATGCAAAAGAATAAATCAAGACAGCAAGGAAGATGAAAGAGAAAAAATAAGCAATTTTCCAGCTCAGCATACCTTTCAGAGCTACATAGTTAATTACAGTAATAGCAGTGTAATAAAAGTCCACATTCATTTAAAATGCACTACAGTGATCCTGAAAGTAGATGCATTTTTGGAACTACACCTTCTATGTTTAGTGTTGTCATTTAGCGAAGGTGAGAAAAACATGTTATAATTTAGCCTTTAGAATTTGGTCTTTAGCTCTTATTCAGTATGGTACCTAAGGGGCCTGCTCTCTCTTGGCAGCCGTCTGTAATCACTGCAAACCATCTCCATCTCAGATGAAACGCCACCATGCTTGAAGTGGAGGGAAACGCAGCGCTTAACTTGAGGGACAGAGGGAGAGGTTTTCCTCTGAGAAATTAGTTATACCACACTGATGGGTTTTAAATGGGACGAGCTGGAAAAGTCAGGCATGATCAGTGAGCTGTCTACAGCAGAATTAGCATTTTCTATCAGTCAGAGGGGCAGCGGGTAGATCCGTATTCAGATGCAGAACACGGTGGTGGTTAGATTATCAAATGCACTCATTTATATCTTTTGCAATGCATGACTGCTCATCACTGTCCTTTTCAGGAAATTAATAAGCGGTGCGTTTGTTTAAATATTAAAATGTTTAAGCTGTTTACATAGTTTTTAATATATTCAACTTTTGCTACAGATATTAAAGGATTAAAATCATCCATTGCGAATAATCACATTATTCTGTGGTCAGTTGGTACAGTAGGTGAAATGCAAATACAAGCAGAAAGGAGTGATTTGTAAATCCACTTTGACCTATATTTAAATGAAAACAGCACAAAGACAAGATATTTAATGTTTCACCTTATCAACCTTTTTTTGTAAATATATGTTCATTCAGAAATTGATGCCTGCAGCATGTGTCATAAAAACTGAGACAGGCAATTTAAGACTAAGAACACTGTGACATGTTTACAATCCATCTTAAACAGGAGATGATAAACAGATTAATGGCCAGATTCTTACAACTCACCGCCAGATTTACCGCAGCATTAAAAGCACATAACATGGCGGTAACACATTTGCTAATTCATAAACAAGGATTACCAGTGAGTTTAACCACTTGCACAATGTCAGGCGTTGCCACAGTGTTATCTTATTAAATATGGCGGTAGCCATAACACCTCACAAAAAACACCTGCAAACACCTGCAAAAATAACAGTGGAACCACTATGGTGGTAATTTTCCCCAGTAAACCTTCTAACTGCTGTTGTAGTGGAATGCTTGTTTAGGCAGGATTTCAGATCATAAAACAGCCTCCATTACCTGCATCAAATGTTCAGTGAATCTCTGTCCTGTATATGAAAAGTAGGTTTAGCTTGGAAACAAAATAAGTGAAGAGTAATTTTACATGTTGAGATTCTAATTACATGTTCCAATTGTTTTTATTGCAAGCACTTTTAGCTTTTTTCAATTTACAGTGGATTTTACAAAGAAATTCAAATTAAAATAAATGAAACTGACGTTTTTACTAGCGAAAATTAGTTTCTTTCTGGTCAAAACTGAATTTTTACTTTTTGAAGTTTAATATTTACTGGTGGAATTTTAATTTTCGCAAGTGTAAATTGAATTCCTGAGATCAAGATTTAAATATTTACCAGCTGAAAAATTTAATTTTCACATGTATGAATTGAATTCCTGCAATCAAGAAAAAATAAGAAATAAAAGCTAAAACAGCTTGCCATAGTAATTAGAATTTTAGTGTGTTAATTTAGCTGTTTAATTGTATGGAAAAAATGACCATATGTGAAACTTTAATGTTAATAAAAATTGTTACTGCAATTATTACAAATTGGAATTCTTAGAAATGAAAAATGAAAATTTACCAAGATATAATTCCTACAATTAAAAGTTATATTTCCAATATTATAATTTTTATGTATTAATGTTTATGTTTATGTCTTTCTTTCTAGTATTAACAAAATTTGATGAAGAAAGCATCTGTACCAAAAAATGTACTTTTATTTGCCAGCACTTCTTCCTTTAAAATGTGTAGCTCTGTTTCTGAGAATTTAGATTTTTTTTGTTTCTTTGATTTCATTTCTTTCATCATATCTGTTATGGAGCTTCACCTTACCTTATTTACATGTTGATTTTTGATTGGCTCTGGCTCTTGACTAAGACACCAGTGAACTAATCACTGTCACTCATAGGTCTTATTTACTGTGCTGCAAATTTTGTGTGGTGTAGCACTGTTACCTCTGAGTTTTATGAGTCTGGCTCCTAGTCTTTTAGGAGCATGGATAAACTGAGGTTTGAAGTGAGACAGTTTAAAAAGAATGTTCAAAAGGTCTGGCATGGTGTGGGGTGTATACTAATGGAATGGGTGACTTGCACATCTGTGAATACACCATTAACACTGAAAAACATTTTATAACTATATGCTGCCTTTTAGACGCCGTATTTTTCAGGGATGTCCATTTTTATTTAAGCATGACAACGGCAAGGCACAGTCAACAGCATCAGAGCATGTGGGTGCTAGACTAGCCTGCCTGCGGTCTAGACCTGTCTGCCTTTGAAAACGTGGCACGTTATGAAGCGCAAAATACACCAATGAAGGCCCTGTACAGTTGCACAGCTGAAGACTGTTGTATAATAAAACAAATCAAAAGTAGATTCGTGTCTTCAGTGCCCAAATAATTAATTGTTAAAAGGAAAGGTAATGTGACACAGTGGTAAACATGATCCAGTCACAGCTTCTGTGGAACATGTTGCAGGCATTGAATTTGGAATGAGGATATATTTACAAAAAAAAACAAATAAATTTGTTTTAATGAGGCAAAACATCGAACATCATGTTTTTCTGTTTTTGTTTTCACTTTAAAATAAGTAAAACATAATTTACTGATCATTGCTTTATGTAAAATAGCACAATCAGCAATATGAGTGGACAATAAGCTGTGTATGTATTTATTACTTTCAGTAATCCAGTAATAACTATGAAAATGAAAACACGAATATAATGTGATTTCCATAGTGAACATAGTTCCCAGTTTTCATCGCCGATGTCCAGTATTTGACTTTTCTTTTTCTTTTCTTTCTCAAATTACTCTTATATGTGCTTGTGGTTTTACTTTTTTTACTAAGCCCTTTGTGCTTTTGTTGAATATGAAAGGTGCTGTATAAATTATGTTTACAATGATGATGATGGCAATGATGGTGATGATGATGATGATTATTATTATTATTATTATTATTATTATTAAAGGTGATGTGCATTTGTATGACTTTAACCATGTATGTACTTATCTCAGAACTCCCACCATGGCCGGCGGCCTGTTTTCTATTGACCGAAGCTATTTTGAGGAGATTGGCACCTACGATCCTGGAATGGACATATGGGGAGGAGAGAACTTAGAGATGTCTTTCAGGGTAAGTTCACAATTTGATATATGATGGCAGCCTACAATGTAATTACTGCTAATAGTGACCATGATTGGCAGTTCATGATCATGAAATTGACTGGAGCAGCCAAACCCGATTAAAGTGCTGTGGCACTGATGAAGCCCTGCGTTTTACTGCATCAGTTGTCAGCTCTAATTCACAATAGTTTGACTGAATGTGATTTTGAGCTATTTTGATAGTGAGGCTTGTAATTACCAGGAGCTGTGATGCCAATCTGTAATGCATTGAGAGCATGTTGTCTGTAGATCTGGCAGTGCGGTGGGTCTCTGGAGATTGTCACATGCTCCCACGTGGGCCACGTGTTCCGGAAGGCAACTCCTTACAGCTTTCCTGGTGGAACTGGTCAGGTGATCAACAAGAACAATAGACGATTGGCCGAGGTCTGGATGGATGAATTCAAAGACTTCTTTTACATCATATCACCAGGTAAAACTTTCATTTGTGTGTAATGCGTTTTGGAATATGATTGGCGAGGTTAACTGTTCATAGAGTTGGTTATAGTTTTGATACTGATTTAAGAGTCATTGTTAAGCTTTGTGGTGACACAATTTAGGTAGAAAATTCCAAAGTTTTCAAAGGTCTCTTTTTACATAGTTTATAGTTAAAAATGCTTTACTTTGCTAATTTTATGCATCTCAGTTACCAGAATATTATTTGAACATCGGCTTGTTTACTCAGGGTGAACCCACACATGACTAAGACCCGTTGGTCTTGTTCATAAGCTGTGCTCTCTGAGTAATTACGTGTCTCTTGCCGTCTGCTTGGGTATATTAGAGAAATGCCTTGTGTTGCCTATAAATAGCATGGCTGGATGATTTGCATCTGTGGCAGTGCTCTTGTGGAAGACAGTAATTATGTTAGTGCTTAACCTCCTGGACCAGTGCTGAGCTCGCTGCATGTGACCCCACTCAGAAAACACACTCCAAACAGACAGCGTGATAGTGTACTGATAGCTTGAGTACTGCAGCCTTTTTCTAATGTTCAAGATAAATATTGTTGATTATCATTTTTAGATCTTTTTTTTTCTTGTGGTTAAGATGCCCCTTGTATGTCAATCAAAGGGTGGAAAAGGTTGATTAGTTTAACATCTTTAAAGTACATCCTTATAGTGATTCTTTGACTAACCAATGATCCTTTTATTCTCACATTCTACATTACACATTTACACGATACACATTTTTTCAGTTTTGATTCATTTTTAGAAGTCAAGATTTTGTTTGATTTTTGTTAATAAAATTAGCCCTAGAAATCAGCGGCCTTAAAAATTAAGTGACATCAGGAAAAAAGCCCAGTCATTTCAAGCCGCTCCCCCTCCCCATTTCTAACATAAGCCCCCCCCTCCTTCTCCTCTCACTTTACTCTAATTGGATACATTCAGATGCCTAGTTTTAATCATTAACAGTGACAGTGTTTACATCAGATAAGACATCATTTTAAATTTGCAGTACACTATTTCAAATGTTAATTTTTCACATTTTTCATATTTTCCAATACTGTATTCTGTGTTCACTGCAATCATTACACCCAGGGCTTGAGTTAAGGCTGGATGTAAGGGAATACCATCCCCCCCAAAAAATGACCACACCTTCACCTTTGTAAAATGTCCACCCCCCTTCCATCCCCTTCTGATTAATTTGACATCCCTGTTATCTGTAGACTATATCTATCCATATCTGAGATTTACACGCTATGGGAGTTCTTCATGTAAAACAAGTTCTGACCAGGGCAGAGCGCATCTACAGAAGAAGTGTTTATGTAGAATTGCATGCTTTGTGAAGCATTTGTTACAACACATGCACCCGTCATAAGGGTTGCCAGCATTTCTTGTTTTCACACCAAGTAGGGCTAGTTTAAAAAATGAGTCACGAGTGCAATGCATCTGCTGGGCAGCTTTTAAGCAAACTTTGACCTGGAGATGTTTGCTGGATCTGGCAACCCCTGCCTGCTGTAGAGAACGTTAAAAGTACAGAAACATCTGTGCAAGAAAATCAGATATACTAAGCAGTGATAACCAGTGAGAGAGGTTTGAAATGAATAAAACTGAAAATTGGAGCTTCTAATCTTTAGAGATAATCGTAATATTTAATTAAATATAAAGTTAATATACAAACTGCATATATAAACTAATATACAAACTGCATCTCCAGAATGAGAGTTGAAGCAGTGTTGCTAGCGCTTTGTTGATGTGTATTAACATCACGCCTGAAATTCTGAATGTTGTCATTGATAATTGCTATGGAGAGTTTTGTTGGGGGGAATTAATGCTGATTAAAGGACTAACTTACATGTCAAGAGCACCCCCCCCACCATGATTTTCATAACTTGACCGCTGGTCACATCCTCATTCTGTTCTGTGCCTAAACAGTACTTATGTCTCTTTTTATCTGCTTGGTTATATTGAAGAAATGCCTTCCAGCATAAAAGTACCAATATGTCATAAAGACACTACAGTTAGTATTTCTCCATTGATCCTGGGCACCACTGTCAGTTGAGTTTATGTTTGCCTCTGATGTTAATTCTGAGTGCTCAGTCAGCTTGGAACTCCCACAGTGTCACTCACGGGAGTTTCTCTGTTACTCAGCATGTTTTGGTAGCACATCAGCCCAAACATTTTCACTTAAATATCGCACCCATCAATCTCGCTCATTTCTGCTGATGTGGGCCCTTCACACACTTCTGCACACAGTCCAGATTTATCCGTGTTCAGCAGGGATCAGCGGGACCCGTGCCTCACTCTGCTGCTGAATCTGCCATCTTTTATTCATGCCTGGCTTTGTACTAAGTGTCATTCAACATGCAGTGAATCACTCAGTTCTGCTGTGCTGCTCTCGAATTCATGAGCGGCTCATTTTCTGGTCCCATGGGAGACGTGGGTAACGTAGTTCTCCTCTAGCTAGGTGCTGCAGTGATGTTAGAACTCTTCAGCATCTCTGTACAGGACGAGTATTATGATTAATTCCTGATTGGTGCTGCTCCTGCTGCTGATAGAGAGAGGAGGTGTTTGGAGTCACTTATGATCTGTGGTGCTGTGGGTGGTCTGAGAAGAGTAGTAGACTGGAGAAAGAAGATGGGGGACCAGAGGTGGAGGGATTCCTGGAAAGCTGTCCCAGTGGAAGAGTGCTCATGATAAATGAGCTTGTAATGGGGGTATAGAGAGCAGCAGGATAACCCTGTGTGGTCTAGGTTTTCTGAAGCTACATCTGTTGCAGAGGGAAGGAGAGAGTGTTAGAGAGGTGCAGGTGGGTGGTCATTTACAGAAACGAAAATTGGTTCAGTGTGTGATAAATCTAATAAATCATGCTTCAGATATGAAACATCCTGGTCTGTCCAGTCTAGGACTAAACAATAATGGCTTAAATGGTAATCATGACTATTTATTACAATTATGCAGACAGTTAAGAAACAAAATAGGTTTAATGCACTTTATCATTTTAAATAAGCACAAATAGGTCTTGTACATTTAAAGCCTACATTCATGCAAATGTATTACAACAAAATAACACTGGTCCTTACAAGAGCCTGACCAGTAAATCGACTGGCCGATATTATCGGCTGATACTGAAGACCATCAAATTTATATCGGCACAAATATCACCAATAATTAATGACTTTTTACGGCTGGAGCATCACTGGGATTTGAGCTCATGGTCTCCTGATGATAGAGCACACCTACCTTTATGCAATGCAATGGCTCACTGACATGAAAAGAACATTTACATTTAAGGTTTTCTACTCACATACCAGCCTGCTAAGAGCTGCCACTATCACAGCAATACAGGCTGAACTTGTGAATATGAACAAAAAAACACCATCATAGTTAAAACCAATAATATCAAGCTTCACCTCCCCCTCCATCCACCCCACCTATCATCAGAAAACTTAGTTAGGATAGATACCCTCCCTGATACACATTTCAGAACTGAGAATCATTTTAGCCAGTGAAGTACTGTTTATCTAAATATATTAAGAGTACAAAATTAAATGAAATAGTTTTATTTGGGAAACAAAAACATTAATTATCTTAATCTGGCAATAATACCTTAATTTTAATTAATTAATTATACACTGTTATATTTTTTATAGTTTTTAATACTGTAGGACACCGTTTTCAGCCTTTGTGGTATATTATGATCATTTATTTGCACACTTCAAAAAGATACCATGTCATAACCATTATGACACATAAAAGTTGCTAATGTATTTAAGCCAGAATATTTCATAGCAGGCTCAATCGTGTGTATATATAGGTACCAACGTTAGGCTATTACTGGTAGTGTATTATTATTGATAGCTCTTTGTGGTCTGGTGTAGAGAAGTCTGCAGACGCTGGAACAGTAGAGGATACGTCATTCTTTTTAGATCTAAAAGTTTTATGTTAATGAGCTGTTGTATTGAATCATGTTTTATATAGATGTAATTCTACAAACTTCTAGCATTTTATAATTTTTAGCAGAATGGCACGTAACCAGAAGAGTCAGGCAACAGAGAGGACAGAGAAACACAGCATAAAAAACATAGTGGAGATTGATAACTGGAGAAGGGACAGAATGAAAGGAAACAGGACAGAATGAAAGGAATATGTTAAAATATAGAGAGCAGATTAAGTCAGGGAGGAAGCCTCAGTTGTTGAGCCTTGCAAGCATAAATGTCTTGAAGTCTGCCTTGAAAGGCAAGTATTTTTTTTTTTAAATGAAGTCAGTTCAGTTAATAAATTTTATGTATTTAGCCAGATCTGTTTAAGCTGTTGCTCTACATATGATTTTTTGTTTACAGTCAGTAAGCTATATTAAATAACTTTATTGTTGGCATAAAGCAGTGTTTAACTTTAGCAGAAAACTGTCCCATTATACTTGAAAAACCAGATGAAGTGTCTTACAGGGACTAGAATATCTACATAAAAACTACATTTACTAGACAAATATACATCTACATGAGATAGATATACGTCTTTTATGAGCTTCATTTTCCTAAAAAGCATGGCTCAGGAATGGAAAAAAAATATATAAAAAAATAAAAAATTGGTTTGCTCTGGCTAACTGTGTTCATTTTACATAGGCCTAATAATATGGAGTTTGATTTAAGCCAAAATGTGTCGGAATATACTGTAAATGTATAGGAAACGAGATGCAAGCTTGAACATATCACAAGGATTATGGGAAAAGTTCTGAAAAGATCCCAAATTTACTCACATAATTCACTTTTTATGTGTGTACTTTCATAAACTAACATTCAAAAGCTGCTTTATACCTTCAAATCACTATTTACGAATACAAAACATTTTGTCTTAAATCTAATTCCATACTAATATAATAAAATCACAGGTCTGGAAACCTGTTAGACCCAGCAGTGGTGTTTGTATTGGTAAAGAAATGTTCACACGTACAGGCTATGAAATTTTACTGTTTGTGATTTAGTGAACTACTGCAGCAATGTAACAGGTTGTCAGTATTATTTATTACTAAGTGACCATACGAAGAGCGTTTCTTCAGAGTATCCTCTGTCCGTGTGGTTTTTGTCTTTGGTTGCAGTCTTTGCAGTTGTCACCTCTGTGATCATCCGCTGATCACATGGTCCCATAATACTGCTGCCCAATATAGATGACAGGTTTAGTCTGGCACCTCAACTTTTCTGCCTTGGGAGACCCTGAAAGGCGTTAAAACTCTAGGCAGCATACCTCTCTGCTTCTCTGATACACGCAGGCATCAGGCACCATATTGTGAGAAGGAGGTTGTCAGTACAGTTAGTAAATTCCACTTAGTAAATTCCACATCCAAGACATTGGTGTTTCCCAACCCAGTTACCTGAAATGGTCCGCATCTTTGTTCCAGCTTAAATTACAGCACATAGGGATGAAGGACAAATGTGGACCATCTGCAGGGCCCTGAGGACCGGGTTGGGAAACATTGTGCTAGTGGGCTACATATAACAAAAATATAATAACATTTTTAACTGGTAACAAAACTTTCAAATGAACATTTCTGTTCCAAAACAGTTAATGATGATTATGTTTTTAGTGGCATTTTTGTTTCTAGCAATGTACTGTTCCCTTTTGGTTTTCATTCCTTAAACTAGTTCGGAGCCCTGCCAAAAAGTATCCCAGTTTTGCTGAATTCACCCCAAGTTTAATTAACTGAAGCAGCCAAAAAAAGTTTAATCACGATTAAAATGAATTTTACGGCCCTTGTCCACTCTGCGTCTTCTTGCAGTGCCTTCCATTAACATCTGACCATCCACGCGTTTGCTGCTTTGAGAAGCTAACAGTGACTGAAAAGATAGCAGAGTGAAATGTTTGGAACTCACTGAACATCAGTGATTTTACTTGTTCAAAATAAAGTAACCACATGTACTAATAGATCTATTTAGTCATCTATCAAGAAAGTGAGAATACTGCGGAGACATAAAGACAACAGCATATTGCAGTCAGATGAGGTTTCATGCATCCATGGCATTTGTCACATTGCGCTTTAATGACTCTGCTGTGTTGGAGCTGCTGTTCGTTCCCCTCACAGTTCTCTCATATTCATTTTAAATCATCTCATGTTGACAGGTTTTTGTTGTGAACATAAATTAACTGCCTTTTCTGCGTAGGCATAAATCCTTTCTATTTGATGGTAGAATGTCATGAAATATTTCTTGCCTATTTTGGGTATAATTGTGTTAATATTTGCCATTTGAGAGATACTCAGTTAATGTATAAAATTACAGTCTTGTATTGAGTGTTTAAAGATGCAGCCTCTTTTAAGGAGTTCTACCAAAAGTAAGGCACACTTTAAACTGAATAGAAATGATTGGGACAGTAAAGGAAGTCTAATATGGAAGCTCCCTCTAGTGTTCAAGACTGAGTGATGCATTGTGGTGATCTTTTCAAGAGGAAAGAGTTGATTTAATGATACCCAGATGTATCAAGCCTTTCAAAATAACATGAATAATGTAACATTAGTTGGCCCAGTCCATATAATTGCAATTATGTAGATGTAAAGGCAAAGTATGACTCTAGGTCAGCAGTCTTACTCTGCTAAAAATAGGGCCTGGACTTTATATTCTCCTCAGAATCATGGCCAACAGTATGCAGTTCATCCAGAGGGCACATGCTCTACATTGTGAAACTTTGTGGTCCAACCGCTGCCAGGCTGTATTAGCTTTCAGTAACAAGATTAATTATTGAAGGGTGAGGGAACATTGTTCTCCCTAAATCCCCAAACTAATATTTCCTCCAAAGTTTCAACTGTTGTTTGGCCCACATATCCAAACCTGTAGGCATCACTGCTCTTTTAACTGCAGTCACATGCCCACTCTTTCTCCAATCAGTATGTTTATACAGGGTCAGGATGTGGAGTCATATCATATTATTATTATTATTATTATTATTTTTATTTTCATTATTATATGTGGAATGTCCCACAGTACTGTTTATAGTACTACCCCTAGTACTGTTTTGGGCACCTAAGCATTGTTTAAAACCATTTATCTCAGCAACTCCACTTTTTGTCCTAATAATAAGGTACGATATTCTCAGTTCACAGAACTAAAGGAAACATTTGTAATTAGACTAAATAATTCAAAGTAGCCACATTTAATGTTAAACTAACTGTTATCCATTGCTCCATACACATAGCAGCAGTTGAAGGTGAAGCATAAAGAGAACTCCAGAATGGTACGGTGTAAATCTAGATAATCTTTTTTGTACAGAATATGAATCAATACATGCAAAAACCAAATGAATATGACATTACATATTACATCTAACCAAAAGGAAGGCTCCAGTTACTGCCTCTGATGGGGGGTTGGGCGCTCCTGTAATGGGTCTGACTCCAGAAAAAGAGCAGCACTGGATCAGAAACAGAGGTGCCCCATCATTTCAGAAACATCATGCAGACATCTTCAGAGATTTCTCCCAAGTGAAATTTCTTCCTGTCTCTTCCAGTGGTGGGAAATGTCCTGACTCCCCCGATCCTCCATACTACATACTCAGTTTGTAAATGCTGTGATTATCATAAAACTGTGTGATTGTGATGATGTTCTTCAGAGAGCCTGTAATGTTCAGCAGTACTAATTATCCTCTAATAACGCAGGAGCATCCAGGACCAGCAAGAGGAAGCAGATGTTCACATGACCAAAACATATGTGGTCCGAGAAATTAGAGTATAACTGAAAATTAGAAAGTTGGAAATTAAAAAATAGAAAGACGATGTAAAGTAATTTTAAGATGATTATTTTAATATATAATTTCAGGCTTTATTCCTACCACAGCCTGAACAAGATCACTAATAAAAATGTTACATTTGTTAATAAAAATGCAAAAAAAAAAAAAAACTAAAAACTCTATACATTAATACATAAATAAGGGAGTGTTATGTCTCTCACATCTCCACTAACTTTTTTTTTTTAATTAGGATTTTTCCACTGTTCAGCCTACAGTATTATCATCCACACTGTGTAAAATCCACAGGCTATGTCACATGCTCTCTGTGGGGTGATTAAGAGATGCTGCAGGCAGTTAAATCTGGACTTAAAGTGATGAAGTGAATAGAGTGTATGCAGAAGAACATTGCTAACTCCTCACAGTAGGCCAGAACATACAAACACATTTTACATAGACAGTAGCAACTAATATTTGGGGGTCAGTAATATCTTTACTTGCATAATTGCCTGATTTAAATCACTTTTGTCTGGTAAAGACTTTTTATTTCTTCTCCATTCATTTACTTTTTCATACCAAGAGCTAATAATAATTAAACTGCTTCTGATATGTTTTTAATATAGTTACACATTCTAAATTAAACCCATACTTATTTATATTTAGCTTTTTAATTGTATGCAATTAAAAAAAAGTTAATATATTCCTAATGTTAGATCTTCACAGTATATTCATTATAAAATATTAAATACAATATGCTTTTTGTGCAGCAGTATGTTGGATAGTATTGTGGGGGAACTTTGTTTGAGAGTATTGTTTTAATATGGCAAGCCTACAACATCACATAGCTTGTCCAGTACAATTGATCTAGCTATGTTAAGCCTTAGCTTTAGCCTGGTACAGAGCAGTTTTGTCCAAAAGCATACTGAAAGCCAAAAATCTTAGATGCTCTTTGTATTATTTTATAAAAAACATTTACAGAGCAATTCACTGAAGAGACACCATCTGTTTATAGTTTATAGCCCAGATTTGTGGAAAAATGGGTCGACTTTCAGTAGACAAAAAAGTGAGTTCAGCTTCTTTTATTATAAGGGTTTAAAATTACATTACCCGTCTATTTGACTGGAAAGAAGACAATTACAGCTCTCATATGACACCCACCTTTTGAATGTAGCTTATGAAATATGAAAGTTATGAAGAATATGACGAAGTGCGTTTTGGAACTCTCAAGGAGTTAAAAAAGGTTAAAAAAAAGCCTGATTTATTGAGTTAGCTCGCTTCCTGGATTATCCTCCTGCACCACAAGATGACTGTGATGTAGCTGTATTCAGCTGTATTTTTACATAACAGCTGTAAAAGTATCTTACTGTAAATTTACATAGTGTTGCTGTCAGGACAAAACCTCATATCTCCCTTTTTGTTTTTTGTATTCCATTCTTTCGCATAATTTGAAAAAGGCTGTTGCCTGTTATGTTGTGTCAAAATGTTTTGATGAACAGACCTACAGAAATGGCCCGTTTTTCTTGTCCTGTAAAGTTTCCTTTTTGGAGATACAAAGTTTTTGTTCTGACAGCAGCGATATGAAAAAAAATACTTTTAATTTGACCAGACCTACATTTTCTTTTGAAAATGTAAATAAAGTGATAAACTAAAAGAAAATCAAAAGTCGAATCAATGAACATATTTATTCTCCATGTTTTGTATTGTACATGCACAGAATATCTCCAACATGCATTTTTAAATGTAAATTGCTGTGTTTTCACATATCTTGAGATGAGTTGACAATGACAGGACATTCTTATCAACACACACAGAAAAGGACATACGTACCTACATAGACACAGGTCATTGTATGCTTTATTCTGTGTTGATTGTCTTTTTCGCTGTGCTGCCCTCAGTAAAGGATGCACTGTGTGTTTGTGCAGGTGTGGTGCGAGTGGACTATGGAGACGTGTCTGCCCGTAAGGCTCTGAGAGAAGCTCTGCAGTGTAAACCTTTCTCCTGGTATCTGGAGAACATCTACCCTGACTCTCAGATACCACGCAGATACTACTCACTCGGAGAGGTATGCTCAATCTGTTCTTTTTTTATGAAACGGATTCTCGTTCAGTGAGGCGTAGCAGATCCGTTGTTAAAAACAGTAATTGATGCGACACTGTTATTCAGGCCTATTCATGTGTTCCTTGTTAAATTTAATTGCATTCTAGGCTGAAGTGCTCTTTTTTTTTCAGTTTTCACTGCACTGGCTTTGCTCATTCATGTGCTCATTTGGAGAGGAGCTCATTTCTGTGAATAGTTTAGTCGGAAATGATCTCTGTTAAAACTTTTTCCGATGAATCTGGCAGTTTTTTGCAAAAATTTAAAAATGTCATCTCCACACAATTGTACTGAATAACTATGTCCTTGACAATGCATATTTAATATCCATAACCTTATCTTGAATAACGTCAGCTACCACATAATGTATTCAAATGTTAAATTGTAATGCCTTCGTATTTTAGTACACCTCAGTTTAAACAAAGGCAGTAAAAGGGTAAATTTTTCAGAGTAAAACAGTATTAGGAAGAGTCTCTGAGCTAGCTGTGCAAGTGGGAGGGGGAGATGAATCTTGATTTCAGATTTTTTGGGTTAATGTGTTTCTCTCTTACTGGTGCACAGTGACAATCAAAAATCAGAAGATGTAAGAGTTGAGAAAAAATCACTGCACTTCTATGGTGACACAAGAATTTTGTAGTTTAACCCTTTAAAATCTCAGGCTTACTATATACTAAGGCTTATTATTTAGTAACTACAAGGACGTCAATGCAAACTGGCTGAGCTGTTTGTAGGTCATAGAACTGTGCAATAAAACTTTAGATCCGCTGCCAAGCCCTGGCCATTTAAGGGGTTAAAGAGTATGGAATGGTGAAGTGTACTAAATAGGACGAGGGACACGAACTAACTAAGTAAAAAAGGTCATTTTGATTTCAGCTTGACTTTTAAGTCAGTTCAGCTCTGCTAAGCTAACACAATTTAGAGGGGAGCACTGTGAATAATGGACTAGCAGGTAGCTGCCAACAGGAGCTGATGCCTTGATTAATAATTGTCTTCAGAGTCAGTGTGAAAGGTGCCTGACTGTTTGGAGAAAAGTGTGTGTGTGTGTGTGTGTGTGTGTGTGTGTGTGTGTGTGTGTGTGTGTGTGAAAGAGATAGAGAGAGAGAAAAAGATGGGGAGTGAAAGAGGGAGATACGTTATGTTGAGGCTTCATGTTTTATACCTCTGCAGTAAAGCTAGTCTGATTCTCCTGCACTGCTGCTCTTTTGGCACTCCTCTGTCCTGCTGTCTGTGCTTTCTGATGACTTTCCACTGCACCACAATTTACACCCCTTTCACTACAGACTCCATTAGGTTTTATGTTATTTAATTTAAGCCCAAAAGATGACTCTAGGTAATAAGACAGGCATTAAATATAGATTCTGCCCAGATTTTTTAGCATATTAACTAAATTATAGAGTGGCTTATTTCATATGGCTGATTTCATATAGCAGTCATTGAGGAAAAGAATTGAGAAGAGCTCCTAACAATCTATGATGTTCAATTTGTGCAACCCAGCCAGGGTCCTAATTAATGAGCTGGAATGAGTTGTTTCAGTGTTGCTCTAATTATGTTGCAAACACACGAGCGGGCTAATCAAGGTCTTGTATTATTAATTACATGGAGAAGAAGTGATTGCTCCAGACTTAAGCCACCTGGAGAGTGAGTGACTTCATCACGTGCAGTGAGAATACAGCCATGAATGTTCATTGCTTCTGCAGAAAGCATTCTCTCTCGTTTTCTCTTGTCGTGTAAGCTAAAGTGACACTTAAGCTCAAGTTCAGTATATATGTTCTGTATGTGGCTGTGATGTAGCCAACAGTGTTGCTGTTTTTAAGCACTACTCTTCCAAATTTGCTGAAAAGTAAGTGAGTCTTTTAAGAATGGTGTAACTGATGAGGGAGGATGGGGTACAGAACAAAGACAAAAGTGCCTACTAATCATAAATTAGTGAATTAGTGGTCAGATACAGCCTGTAAGCAATTTTGATTTGGCTCCAATCCATCTTCCAAAAAAGAGTCTATGAAAACAGGGGTAAAGCAGTAAACATTGTTACAAGAAGACAACAAAGCACTTTTGTAAGTATCTCTAGATAAGGGTGCCTATTGCCATAAATGGAAATGTAACATAAGTGTTGTACTATCAAGAAATGTATGACCACATGTAGGAGATGTTCTGGAATATCTAATTAAAAGGATTTTTTTTCATAAGACAGCATGCTTAAGCAGAGAGAGTGGTAAACAGGCTATGTAAGCAACGTCCAGCAGGTAATTATTGCTGATGTGATGACACAGTAAGTGCTTGGCCCAAAGAGTATTTTCTCTGCAAGAATTTGGCCGCAGGTCAAATATATACTACATGTCCAAAAGTTTGTAGACACCTGTGTATTCAACGTGTCCCCCTTTGCTGCAGCAACAGCCTCTACTCATCTGGGAATACTTTACCCCAGATGTTGGAACATTTATTCCATTAAGCCACAAGAGCATTAGTGAGGTCAGGTAATGATGCTGAAAGATTAGTTCTGGATCTCAAACGCCACTCAAACCTGTCCCAAAGGTACTAAATGAAGCTCCATCACCCCAGACAATGCAGTTCCACTGCTCCACAGCCCAGTGCCGGGGGGGGCTTTACACTCCAGTCAGTGCTTGGCTTTGGGCATGGTGACCTTAGGCTCAGGTCCATTGCATCCGATTCTGTTGGCAGTGCTTTACCATGTAGATTATACAAGCTGTGTTTGCTCAAATAAACGCTAGTGTCAGTAATGAGTTTTAAATACACTAATTAGAAAGAGTGGTTGGATACTTTTGGACATAGTGTCTATTTCTACACTCAGAAAACCAATGGAATCAGTGGACTTACAAACTGAAAATATATCAACATTAAATAAATGAGTTGTGTTGTCTCTTATTAACTCGTTTACATAAAGTGGATGAAAAAATGAATGAAAATACATTTCAATAAATGACATCTATTTATTTTACTCCAAAGAGGTTTCAATGCCAGTGAAACCCAAGTAAATTGCACTGGAATTATTAATTTTTGTTCCATCAGCAATTGAACTTCATGTTGAAGTAACAAAGTCTGTGTATACTGACTCTACTCTGATTGAATAGAAATGTGTGGTGTTATTGAATTACGTTCATACAAAGATGTATTTGGGCAAAGTACCGATTCAACATCTATTTTATTTGAGCCACACGTTCTCTAGTTTTATTACCAACCAAGACACACTTACCTTGCTGATAGGTTATTAGCATGGTCAGTAAACGCCTCCTTACTTTGCTTCCTTCACAGATCAGAAATGTGGAGACCAACCAGTGTGTAGACAACATGGGGAGGAAAGAGAATGAGAAAGTTGGTTTCTTCAACTGTCATGGCATGGGTGGGAACCAGGTGAGAATGCTGTAGCCTGAACACGATTCTTAGCAAACTTTCACTGAGGTGTCATATTTGTTCCAAGGCAGAGAAGCTGACATGATATGTCTTCCACACAGGTGTTTTCATATACAGCAGATAAAGAGATCCGGACTGATGACCTGTGTCTGGATGTATCTCGTTTGAATGGACCTGTGGTCATGCTCAAGTGCCACCACATGAAGGGCAACCAGATGTTTGAATATGATGCTGAGGTATGTATATCACTCACTCTGTCTAAGGATTTTTACCTTCATTGTGATACATGCATATGGTGAACATACATATGACATAATATCTAGTTTGAAGTTGTCCTGTTTTTGTGAGTTTTTAACCACCAGATGGTGCTGTGAACCATTTTTTTTACTCTGCATTGGACTGTATTCTGTTGAAACTGCATTATAGTAAAGAGCTGCTTACAAACAAACATCCTTCTTCCTCTTGCTTAGTATGTTGGCAAGTGGGAATATGATTTTAAGGTAAGATTAGCCTAGCTGTGTTTTTCTCAATGTTGTAGTAGTTTTCTGGTGTTATCACAGTATACACTCACCAACCACTTTATTTAAAACACCAACTTTGTACCTACACTCACTGGCCAGTTTATCAGGTCCACTTACCTCACAGGTCCTATATAGGTCCATCCTCTACCCCGTTTATCACTGATCAGTTTCTGACACAGAAGTGCTGCTGGAACTATTCTGTACACAGCAGTAAAACTGGCATGGTTTTTTCATCATAGTCTATGTGCCAATAATACAATAATAAGAGGCACCACAATGTTGCTGGAGTTTTCACACACCAGTGTCACTGCTAGGTTGAAACTTGCCAGCCAAAATGATCCAGCCAAGAGCACGTCTATGGTCAGAAACTGACCGCTAATAAGGGGCAAGAGGTTGTCTAATACAAATTGTGCTTAATAACTGAATGGCTACAGTCTCAAACTGTAAACCAGCAATGTGTATCTATAAGATCAGGGTTTTTAATAAAGTGGCTGGTGAGTTTATATAATTTTTTGTAATAGTGATGTTGTGGTTATGAGCAGAGTAGACTTCACTATGTTCTTTAGATTTTCTTGTGTGTTAGCCTTTATGAGCAGTCGTTAAATGCGTGATATAGCGTACACATAGCTTATAGCTTGAAATGTGTCCCCTGAGCCACACTGCATCTGTTTAGTGTGGAGCTACTAGAATCTTCTGGCATCTTGTTTTACATTGATTTTCTGTTACTGTACCACAACTTATACACATGTTCTGTTAAGATGCCCTGATGTCTTAGTTGTCCTCTTTTTCAGTCTTCATAGACCTAGGCTACATGGAAACACCCAGGAAAATAGATCAAAGTGGTGGTGGCAGAGTACCTCCCATATCAATAAGGTTCCAATAACTGTGAGATAACCCCATTCATTGTGTGGCCTACTTGGGAAGTATATTTTTGGATAAGTTGGCCATGGGATATGAAAGGGGACAACACCATTAGAGACTTGAGAGAGTAAGTTGAGAAAAGAAGACTTATTTTAGATACAGACCTCGCTGACTGTTGAGAATTAATCCATGCCATTGGGACATATCCTTGTGTGTAAACTGTGTTTTCACCTTCAAATGATTTAGGCCTCTTGTGCCAGGCTACTGAAGCCCCTGCAGACTAGTTTATTTATATATTGTCCAAGAGAGCCAAATTTCAGGCCTTTTTGATTAGTAATTTATGCAACATAAAATATTAAATGGTTTGGGTTTTTAGAAGTGTCACAGGCTGTCGATGCTATCAATCTTTAAACTATTTTTAAAAGCTTATAACACTGTCGCTGACTCCAGGATTTCATCCCATTAAAATTTTATTGGTTTCTTGTGAAACATCTCACAGTCAGTAAACCAGTTCTTTGCCTATGCCACTTGACAACCAAAGGAGTAGATAGTAGGTTTAAAAATAGCTCCCAATATTCACATCTTTCACATGAACATTCAGACGCTGGCACTGCTGCCAATATCACTTCTAATTTTAGGACAAATGGTAGACTTTACAGCAGTAATGCTTAAGCTGTGCTAGCGTCGGGTTTCTTCGCTGTAACATCCGTGTATCATCCCCATCACTCTTCGTATGTATTGCATCCATCTCACACTCTCACTTTAATGGCATCATCTTTTCAGGCCGTTCATACCTGTCTGACTAAAACGTCAGGAGGTAGAATCGTTTTTTTCCAGGTCCATTCTTCAAGAGCCTGTCTGTTTTATTGATGATTTAAAACACTTTTTACATTTATTTTGGTCTTAATGGTGATTATTTTTATTATTTATTTTATTTTTATTGATAGGTATTGCTTGTTTTGAATATGCAAACAGTGACAACCCTTTTGTTTATTTAATTTCCAGTCAACATGGCCATATACAAGTTATTCATTTTTCGGTGTGAGGGAAAGAAAACAGGAATCATATGTTTTACAGAACATTTACAAAAGCTTCCAACATAAAGTGTAATATCAAATAGAACAATATGTAATTTGTCTTCTCCTTGCTTTTCTGCATCCTGCTACCACTTTAACTCTTCCATCCTTCCAGTCTTGAAACCAAAGAGAAACAGCTGTGTCCTCCCAACAAAGCTCTCGCTGAAATTATGTTCCCCTTCAAACCGACACTTCAGCTACCCGAACTCACCTCAGCTGCCTTACACATTTCTTTCTTGTGTGCATCAAAAATGTTTAAAGGAGGTGTTTCTGAGATTAGATATAAGATAATCCACCCACTTCGATTTACCACACGGATGTGCATCACACCTATGTTACACAAGTGGCCACTCGCAGCAGAAGGGGAGGAGGCGACAGTGAGGAGTGGATTATTCAAACAGAACGCGCTCGCCCTCAGCAGGTTAGCCTCAGTAAGCTAATTGGCTAGCCATGGAAACTCTGCAGTGCCAAACTTTTTTTCAAGAAGTTTAAGCATAACATACATAATGTGTGAGTAAGTGCTTTGTCTGGCAATAAACATGGTGCAGAACCATGGTGTAAGAGCAAAGTAAAGTGATGAAGCGTTATCAGCAGTCATGTATGTATTATTATCGACTGGAAGTAAAATAAATGAAAGAGTGGTCTCTGACTTATGTGTGGAAACTAATTGTTAGTAGCCACTAATCGTTTTGGCCAGAATACTCTTGCCAAGGAGATTTCTTTCTCTTTCCTTTGTTTAAATAAATAAACTGACCCACGACTCCTTTCATTATGAGGAGCCCATCACCACTCAAACTTCGTCAGTCCGAGTGGTTGTTCTGTCTGCATTGTCATTAAGTGTTCCTGTAGAGTTGTAGTTCATGTGTTGTTGATGAGTAGAGTAGATGGTGTGTTTATGTTCCATTGTGACCATCTTCATCCATCCTGCTTTGTGTTGGTATCTCACGGTGGCCATCAGAAGGGCACGTTCCTGCACATTATCACACAGTCATGCCTCACCATCAGCCGGCTGGAGGATGGAACGTATGGGCCTACAGTGGAGTACTGTGATGATAGTCCACTTCAAACATGGGTCCTCAAGAACTACACCAGACTGGAGGTCTTTAGGAAGCTCTACTACAGCCCCACTGATTATTTCCTGTAGCTCCTGAGCTCAGGCTACAGCAGGTCAGTGCTGGAGAGGTTAGTGGCCCGGTGCAAATTCTGCCCCAGCCCAGTTGTCTGCCTTTGGCCAGAGACCAGAAGCCTCCTCATAGAGAAATCTGTTCAGATTCTAACCAAAAACTGATTGGTAATGTGTTTATATTATATACTTGTTCTTGATACTTCATGTTATTCATTTTCATGCAGTATAGTTTTGTCAGTCATGTACTACAAAGGCAACTAAATCTAGAAAAAAGCATAGTTTTTATTCTGTGCCTTTTTTAGTAATTGTAATGTTTTTGCAGTAATTGCAATAATTTCCCTTTTTGCTTGTTGAGCTCTACTTTGTAAATGAACCTCAGTGGATAGCTGATTAGATGAAGAAATAATAAATACAGAAAATAACTGTAATTTGGCTAATCAAGGTCCTGTAGTGTTTAGTGTAATTGCATGTAATACTCTGGACTCAGTCAGGCTCCCAGTTGAAATGCAGTTTTTCATGAGGAGAGGTGTATGCTCCTTTACTTAGATACCATACCATAAGAAGGAGAATGGCTAAGGGGCTGTTCAAGGGCTGGGGCCGTTTACTCACTTAGGTGTATGCAAGTAGATCCTCTTGATATGGTGTAGGCTAATTTAGGCCAAAGTGTAGACGTGTTTGGTAGTTTTAGTGATTGTTTCTGTGTGCTGTGGCTTCGTGTCTAAAGCATTGGAACTTTGTTGTTTGTGGAGCTCTGAAGTTGTACCCAAAGACTTTCTCAGACTCTGCGTTCAGGACAGGTTGCAGGATGTTTACAAACCATTACTGATGCCTGTTGTAGTGGTATACAAAAGGTTGGAAGCAAAAGACTCACCTCAGGTAGTAACAGGCATTGCAAGGGCTGCTCCATACATACCACGATCTCAAGAACCTTTCCATCCATATTAAATCTCATTTAACATTTATTTTTCTTACATAAATATTTCATTTTGATATGAAAATTTGGTGGTCCGCCCCACACATGCCAGCTCTCATTGAGCGTGAGCAGAGGAGGCGGCTTTATTCCAAGCTGATTATCTATGCGCACAGCACTGAAATGGGTTTGTCTTTGTTTACGAGCTCTTTTGAAGTGATCTCTCATTGTGAAAGGCCTCTTTCATGGCCGTGGCCTCTCTGAGAGCGAGGCTGCGTCTGAACACTCTCTCACACCGCCACGCAACATCTGTGCTCTGCACAAACACAGGGATTTTTTTTTATTTATTGTCAAAACCCTGAATTTTAATGGCCTCTTTGCCTTTTTTTATTTTTACCGGTTCATGTTTTTTGCTGGAAATGCTGTGTTGCATTTCAGACCATTAGTCATCTGCACACTTTATTATTCTGTTGCTCAGAGTTTGGTCTCGTGTTCATTCTTATCACTCAGACTCAAAATGTTAGTCCTTCTTTGCTTAGAACATGTTCTGGGCTCAGGCTCTAAGTCTATTTTTCCACCTGAAGAAGCTACTTGTGACTTGTCCTGTTACATCACGATAGTTACATTTTCACAGTACATTTTCACAATACATGATACGTATCACAATATTTTGTTTTTGACATTTGCGAGTGAACAGACAAAATGAACCAGCAAAACAATAGTGCCTTTATAAAAGAGTGTAATAAAAAAATTAAGAAATCACATGAGGAAAGCACAAGCAATTGGTCAAATTTGATTATTGGAATGATAAGCAATTTTGAAAAATTAATAAATCGGGGTAAAATTATTGATCAATATTGGTATTGGTGGAACACTGGAACAGACAAAAATGCACCAGATTCAAAAATAACCAAAAACTACTAGTACAATGATTTTTTATTAAACATTTCACATACTGTGCTGCACTAAATCCAGTTTAACAGTCCTAATTATGATGACCCATACAATTGGTCAGTGTTCTTTAATTACTGACCATATCCACACTATGCTCAGAAAAGCATATTGTGACATAATCATAATCATGAAAGCCATAAATGTCGTCATATAGCCCTCATGTGTTTTACCTGAACATATTCAGTGTATCTAAGTATAAAAGTTCGCATTTGTGGGGCCAACAAAGCTCAAACCTGATACACGCTGAGTTCAAGATTTACAGACACACAAAAAAGAATGAAGTACATCAAAACAAATGACAAGTTACAAATTTACTGTCTTAGTGCCGTCTTTCACATCAGAGCTAATGATTGCTCATGGTTTCTTTGCTCCTGTTAATGCTCAGAGCTCCGAGCTGAAGCTGAAGCAAAGCCTCAAACTGTATCCCACATACTGCACCTACTCTGTAGAGTTGACTTTGTTTAGCAGAATGGGCTGTTATCCAGGGACTGTAGCTTTGAGTAGTGCTAGCTAAAAGAAAACTACAACTACCTATCCGTTAATGCTCAATGAAAAAATTTTTCTTCTTGTTTGTCATCTTCGTGCATGCAGTTAATAAAACAGGGCACTGGAACAGAGACAACTCACTGGACAACTCACTGCTATATGTGTAAATGAAGTAAAACCTGGATTGGCGTTTTGAATAATGTTTGCTTTTCTTTTTGGAACAAAATCAAAACATCAGTTATGCCTATTGATTTCATGGCCATTATTGGTAATTTAAGCTCAGCAACAGACTCTATAATTAGTCTAAATTGGATAGTAACTGCACACAATCTAAGTAAAAAGGTTTTTTTATGGTATATACAGATGTTTACTGTTCTAGAAGTACTGCCGATGCTGATGATGTACTCAGAAAAGCATATCATGACACAATTTATAACAATAACGATAACGTATCCTAATATTGTCCACCCTTACCTGAGAGTATTACATTCAGTGATACGTAGTAGGATTGTCACCCTTTAAGAGTGTCATATGGCAGATATGTTCTTGCTGCAAAATGGAGCTTGAGATATGTGTATGCAGGAATTTCCTTGAGTGTTGTAAGTGCGAGTATGATTATTGTTGATGGTGTGGTGTGTAGCAGTAACGTGGCCCAAAGCACACAGTCATCAGAGGAGCAGGGCATGTGCTGTGCTGCTTCCACCACTCAGTGACAAAACCATTGTGTGTTCCTCACCCAAGACCCGCCATTCCAGACCATTCTCATTTAATTATCCCATCTCCAAGCAGTGTGAGGAAACACGGGCTGCACACAATACACTGACCTTCAGATCCTCTCGCTGTGAATGGGAGACTTAATAGCCACTTTATTGGCCCCTCATATGTAGCGTTTTTGTTTAATGAGAATTGATTTCTCTCTGCCTTTTTTGACACTGATGCTAATCTAAATAGTTGTGTTTTGTCTGTGTTCTGTTGGGTTGAACAGATGCCTCAGTTTATTATTTGTTGAAATACTGTGGTCTGACATACATCATTGTTAGAGCTTAGCCTTTATGCCAAATATATATAATCATGTTTTTTTGTTTATTGTGTTTTAAAAAGCTTGGTATCACTGTTTAATGTATAAAATGATTTCTGTATGATGCTAATATACAGTCATGCGCAAAGGTTTGGGTGCCCGTTCACATTTTTTGTTTATTTTATAAGTGAAAATTAGTAAATATCATCTACAGAGAACATACTTCTGCACATTTTAATACTATTTATTTGTTGAATTTAATATAGTGGTAAAAACATAAAAATGTTATCGCACATTTTATATTTAATGATTTTTTTCCCATAAGTTAAACATTTAACTGCATGCTACATGTAGAGGATATATTAACTTATTTTCACTTAAAAAATCAACAAAGACACCAGGGATGTTCAGGCTTTTGCATATAACTGTAGGTTTTAAACAATTTGTAGGGGAAAAAGAGGAAATTTTCAATAATAATAATAATAATAATAATAGTAATAATATCTAGAATGCCTCATATTGGAAAAGCAGTGACCAAAATCTTGCTGATCAAATACATATTCATAGTTAGGCTATATCAGTAAATTGCTATAAATAGATATTTACTGTTTTGCCAAATCATAAATACCTTACATTGTAAATACAATTATATGCTGCATGAATTATTACTGAATAAAAAACGTTATCATTAGTGATTCTAAACTTTTAAAGAGTGACACAGGATGGACATGGCTAGAGGCTGAGATTTGTTGTTGTTGTTTGTTTTTTGGTCTTTGCATCACTTACTTTGCAGTCTGTGTCAGTGAAATTTTCGAATTCCCCATAACATCATCCCATAGTACGCCTGAACTTGCTCATCCACATAAAAACTCCAAATCACTGCTTCATTAACATCACAATTCATTCTTCAGACAATACAAGGAAAGGCTTTCATTCAGCCCTGAAGCAACACCATTCAATCAACACTATTGCCCAATTACTTTCTGTTAATTTTACTCTCACTGTCAGGGTACTTACGTGAGGTTTCTGTTATGCGATTGCTTCTGGGCCCTATCGTTACACTCCACTTAAACAAAGCGGTAATATGCATTTTCACATGCTCCTTTTGTTCATCCATTAGCTAGCAGCTGTTTGATAGGACAGTGTTTAATTATGAAGCCCACTGAGCTGTTTGTGATTAGCGCTGAACCTGAAACCAGAGGCCAGTCACACTCATTAGTTTCGCGTGCTGCTGCTTGAATAGTGCAAATGGAGCCAAACCCTGAGTCTAAGGCGTCCTCGTCTCCTGCCCGTGCACAGACACTGACTGATGGCACTTGTTCAGACTAGGCGTTTGGAGGCCATGATTTTGGAAGGGTGCCCTCTCTCAGTGCGGCTATTTTTCTACGGTTTGAGTCCACCATAGTTGATGGATAGTCTAAAGCTGAGTGGCAAATAGTCTGTGGAGAATATCTTCTTTAAGCGTAAAATCAGACTCAAAGACCTTGCAGGAAAAATGTCGAAATATACAGTACTGTGAGAAAGTCAGAGACCATCCTTCAGTTATTTAATTTTTAGTCAATTTGGCAACTAAGTACAAGTTATTCATTTCCCAACATCAAAAAAGCAGAAAACATATTCAACCAAAAATACACAGAAAAGCCTCAACATTATCAACCTCATTTTTTCACTGTTCATTGTGTCCATCCTTATTACAGCTTCCATTCTTTTCTGAAGACTTGCTTTCACTTATTTTCTATATGAATATTTTCCATAGCTCCGAAGTTCAGTCTTAGAAGTTGGCTGCTTTTTGTGCTTCTCACTATCCAAAAAATCCCAATTACAAATTTAGACTCATCATAAAACCTTTCTCCATATCTCAGATATCCAGATTCAGTGTTCTAGTACAAACTTTTTTTTTTTGGTCTGTTTCCTTTTTCTCAGTAACATTTTCCTGACAGTTAGACATCCTTTCAGACCTGCAGTGTTAGTCATCCTCTCACAGTGGAAGGATGGACAGATCTGATGTTCAGACATGAAGAAAGAGTGGAGCTTGATTGCTTGGTGATGAAAGTATTCTTAATCTGGTTGTGGCAGTTTTGGTGGGCTGCCAGGTTGTTAAGAGTCCCATTCTACTTCTTTCAATAATTAGCTCCTATTTTTTCATATAGCTTTCCCCTTCCTTATGCAAGTGCACTCTTATATCTAATCTCCTCAGAATCCCTGGGAATAAAAAAACATAGTGGCTGTTTTGACTGGAAATTAAATAAATGATGGGTGGTCTCAGACTTGTGCACAGTATCTATATAAAATATCTATACATATCTGTATATAAATGTTAAATTGGTCAACTAAATGCTTGTGAGGAAAAACTGCCTTGAGCCTTATTCACATAGGATTAGTTTTGCATGGGGAAGTGGGATGATGTAATTTTTTACTGCCGTTTCAGTCTTTTATCGACTGCACAATCAATACTACAGTGCCCAACCCCCCCAGTCCCACCAACCCCTGCCCCCAAAAATTAAATACCTTAGATTTTGTTGCAGTTGGGTCTTGATCATTGAATATTGATAAAATTGAATCTCAAACAACCAAATGCAAACCAAATGCATTACAGCAATTCTTTTCCAGGAGGACTCAGGCTCCACTCCCGCTATTGAATTTTTCACAGCAGCCTGTTCCCAAGAAGTGTTTGATATGTGCTGAAGGCTGAGTGAGGCAGACACAGGAGAGCTGAAGTGCATTGACTCTCATAAAGTGTTCATGAGTGCTTACTCAGGAACCCTTAAGACTCAGTCTCTTGCTCTCTGTCTCTCTTTCCCCCTCTCTCACTCTCGAAATGCACTGTTTTGATTGAACACCTGTTTCTGACAAGAAACATTTTACAGAATTCTGACACCATACATTATTCAGAAATTGTAAATTTTTTGACTGGAGAAACTGCACAGTCCATACGTTTATACTAGGCACTGAATTCACATTAGAAAAAAAATCTTGGACTGGACAGCTACATTTTTAGAGTTCTCAAGCATAAATAACAGCAGGAAGATCATCAAGTTGCAGAACGTCCCACCTGACTGTGTGTGGATCCCACTGTTCTGACAGTCAGCCAGTTTTTCAAATAAAATCACTTTCAGAGGCTTGTGATAAGCACACATGCTCTCTTTAACCTCATTGACATGCCAAGCTGTGCTCCTGGACCTTTTTGTTGTTGTCGTCATTGTTGTTATTGTTGTCCTCTCCAGCGCCTGACCTTGCTGCACGTGAACAGTAACCAGTGTTTGGACATGCCCTCGGAGGAGGACAAGATGGTTCCCACTCTGAGAGACTGCAACGGCAGCCGATCACAACAGTGGCTCCTGAGAAACATGACCTTAAGTATGTGAACTGGACATGTTCTGACCCAAGCTAAGAGCACAGGACTTTTCCTCAGTCATTACTGGAGTTTGGCATGGTCTTTAACCTGCACCTTGGATCTGCAGTGTGGGTTGCTCCAGAACTGAATCTGCTTTGACCTGACCCATAAAGAGCATGTGTCCCAGAACTCAGAGTCCAATACAGATTTAGATGCAGAGTGTTTGGAACTGAGCCTGCGTCTCCGGTCATCTTCTCTGAGTCTGTCATCATGCATTTTCCCACAGCTCTCAGCTCAAGTGTTGCTGGAACTCTTGCCTTGGGAACAGGCCACTACTAGTCGTTGGCCAATGGTATCCTACTTTCCACTCGTCACTAGCATAGCCTGGGGCGTGAAAGAGCTAAAGCCAGAAGCCATAATCCAGTAGCATCTGCTCTGGCCACTCTGGCTACACTCAGAGTGGCCTCCATCTGGAGCTATTCCGAAGACTGATCATTATTCTGTGGCTCAGATGCTTGCTGGGCCTGAGAACTCTGGCGACTGTTATACTTTGCTGTCAACTCTGTACTACACCACCCACAATTCTTGAACTTCCACAAGACAAGCGTTTTGCCAGTGATTGGCAAATGTATGCGCCACTGTTGTCAATTCGCTTGCTATCATTGTGTTCTGTATGATATTGTTCATAAATACAGCTCAAAGTTGTTCTAGTCAGGAATCTAAATGCAGTCTGACTTTCCTAGTGCATATCTTCGATTATTAACTATCTAAAGCAGCATTTGCACCTCCAAACACCTGACATCCCAGGTGTTGGCCATAATGTTGAAGTGATAAAAGTAGATTCTGTACAGCAAAATAGTTTTTATCATCCCTGCTGTTGTTTTATCATAAACTCCTGGCATAAGAGAAGAATTTCTGGCTCAGTTTTTTTGCAGAGGGAAGTACGCTGTGCATACAAAATAATGAAACAGTGCAGTTTTACAGCTACCCATTTCAACACTGATATCTTGCTGAGGGACTGCAATATACTGTTATGCCTTAAGGAAACTTAAATGGAAGCACTGAGAACTATAATAGAATCACAGCAACATGTTGGAATTGTGATGCATATCATATAAGAGTAAGGATAACAGAATAACACTTGCTGTTATTTGTTCCTAGTTTTTGATGAGAATGCCTAATCCCATACTTAAGGTTTCCTTCTTTGAGATACAGTATTCTAAAGAGTCTGTTTGAAAGTCCAAAAAGGATGTTGACATTGAGCCTTTTGCCTAATCTGGCCCACTGTTTTTAATTTACTGCAAAAAAGATGAAAAAGACAAAATTTTAAACATGTTAGATTCACAAAGTAATATTGAGTGAAATTCATCTCTTGGTTATAAAACAAAATTGATATATCTAATAGATTTTAGATTGTGAAGAGACTGGAAGATGTAGCTTATGTATTTTAAAATAATGCTTTCTGTTTACCAAGAATTTCCCATTCTATCACTTAGTTTTTGCTGTTATCTGTGTATTCTGTCAAATCTAGGTATATATGCTACATTTCCTTAATGTAGCATGTGATACTGAAATTATTCATGCAGCTTTGAAACATTGCCATATCAGTCTCAATATACTGCCTATTAATTTGAGTATTTTGTTGTAATTTTGCTCACTGTTCTCTGCTTTCATGTTATGGAGCAGCTGTCTGGTTGTAAATAATATGAAATCAGTCTTTTTAAGCATTGTTGTATATATGAAATCAATTATTTTTTTAAGACAACACTTGAAAGCCCTATTGAACTCTATGAAGTAGAATTCCTTATCAAAGTGCATTGGTGTATTTTATTGTTTCTAGACATGCTAGATATAGTGTCTCTAAGCAGAAATGTACCGACTGTTCTCAGTCCAAGACCTCTTTACTACTTTATTGACACTTCTGTTTCAATATTTAAGATCTGTATTGAATAACTGAAATCTATTTGACATACTAAGTATTAAAGGAATTTGGTTCAACGTGTTAAATATACTTCATTTCAGACAAATTTCATAATTGCTTGTGCTTAGACATCACCGGATGAAATTCATAATTGCACTTCAACCCAAAGGAAACAGCGTAACCATGTTACTCCCACTCATGTACTGTTTTATTAAGAAGCTAAACATCTCAGTGGGCTTTTTATCAAGTGCATGGTACAAATACAATGTAGATTGCCTTTAAACTTGGACAACTCTAAAATGTGTAACTTTGTATTGCTCTTGAGTGAAAATGTTTTTGTTTTTGTTTTTTTTTTTTGTTTTTTTTTGTAAGTAATAAATATTGGCAGAATCTGACTTTACCATGCATATTTAATAGATGAATATCAAACAGAAACTGTGAACCATAATAAACCACTGTTGTTGAATGTTGCTACTCAGTTTCCTTATTTCATAATGATAACGGGAAAATGTAATTTCCTTGTTTTCCTTAAAATGCAGACATTACTGTGCTTTGCATTTTGCTAGTGTTTATTGTTAACAGGCATGCCCATTTATTTCTTTTATTACTAGCACTTTCAATGTAGGGAAACTACCTAGTCCTTTTATAGTTATCAAACGCCCTGATTTTAAAGCCATAGCCGTTACAGCTCCACATCCTTTATGGTCAGATGCTAATAGCTTGTCATTCTTCAGTGCAGCAAATGGATGGATTCTGCAGAGGGTGATCTGTCAGGCTATTCCAGCAGATCAACTTGAGAGTCTGCAGGTCAGGTTGGTGGTGGTGATGGTTTCTAATTCCTTGCTGTAACAGCTGCCTAAGGGGCATGCATAATGATAATGAGATTAATGCTTCTTAAAAGCCCCCTAGGTCTGAATAAAGGACTCAGTCTAGGCTTGAATGAGTCAGTCTCAGTAATTACTTAATTCCATATTTTCAACAGAAAGCCAGGTGATTGACCACCCCCAGCCGCCAAAGGGAAACTCAATCCTGCTTTCATTTGTTTTTGCAATGTGTGAAGTGGTTTTACTTCAGCCTAGCTGAAAGTTTGGCTGCCTTCAATAAGTCACACTCTAAAATAAATTATTATAGAGCTCAAAGATTGAGTTAATACTGCAGTTTTTCCTTAATTGCTCAAATACAAACCTTGAAATGTAATGTAAAAAAACTCATATCAGTAAAATGTCTGCTCAAAGCTCGCTGCTTTTTGCTTTCACACAGAATTCTGATGTTGGATTCTTGGAGTACTGTTGTCTTCAACTTAGCCAGAGATGCAGTGAGTAAACATTGGTGATCAGCATGGATTACACTGTTCTCCTGTTGATGTTTTAATTACTTTTCTATGCAATTTATCAATATGCTCACTGTGTGAATGCTTACATGTGAAATAGACCAAACATTCATAAACTGCAGTGATCTATTATTGTTGTAATGTCTAACAAATGAATACCAGGAGAATCTCAACGTTCACTAACAAGTTCATTTTCTCATATTTTAGAGCAATCAATCACATATGCTGTCAAATCTAGCATAAGGGATTTTTTTCTGAGAATGACCACTGGCTGGGCAGGAATGACTTACCAATTTCTGTAGTACTAAAGGACAATGGGCCTTGTTCCCCCACCTACGCAGTTTTTACGAAGATTCTGACATTAACCCGTGTTTTCTTATTTGGTATTTGTTCTTATTTAAGAACAGATTCTACACACACTCAAGAGCACAATGGTGTAAACAACTCTGCGGTTTAAGAACATGTCATTAATCTGACGTAGACTTTTTATAGCACTTTTCTCAAGAACAAATTTAAGAAAAAACGAAGATATTGGTGAATGAGGCCCAGTGTTGTACTTCAGCATACAGACCTAATCAGAGAATGGTTTATCACCCACCCACGCTTTCTGATGGAGCTCCTCCCACTCCTCATTCTTCAGTCAATTTAAGGAGCATGATAGTTGAAGGTGTATCATTATCCACCTAATGATCTCATGTCATCGCTGAGTGAGGACATCACAGCAGAAACGTGTAGGGGAGGCCTATGTCAAAAAAAAAAAAAAATTGACTCATTTGTATAGCAAGGCAAAGTGTCGGGCATGAGGTGGATGAAATGCTGTAGACAGACAAACAGGAGCAACTGGATGGGCAGTGAGGAGGTGAAAGGAATTTTTAATGTTCCTTTTTTACACATTAGTTTCTAATTTTACTGTAAATGTTCTTACTGCAGAGACAAAATAGTGAATAAATATTTTGAAATTAATGTTTGTAGCATTTGATTTAACAGTGATGCTACAGTAATCAGTTGGCTACAAAGAAATTTTACTTTATTGTATCGTGGCCGACTGTCAAAACGAGGTAAAGAAAGCTTAATATTCTCAGCTGAAACATTTTATTGTGCTACACAGCACAAAGTGATGTGGTGGTTGTACTTAAAGATTTGATAATCCTAATATTTCAGAAAATGTACTCAAACAACTGAGCAAGAAGTTTCAGTGTCAGTATGTCAGACTATATTGAATGTGTTTCTTTAGCTCATTTTCTTTTTTGTCACAGTACCATTCAGCAAGGTCAAATACAGTAAAAAGAAAAAAGAACATAAACTGTAAATTTTCTTTACCTTCTATCTGCCTCTCCAGTCACTCCTGTCTCTCTGGCCTGACACACCTGATATTCCGCCATGCTATAAAAAGTGGGAAACTATTTTTTAGTATTTCACAGTCACCCCTACACATTCTGTAATTGACACAAGCAGTATCTACAGCGCCCAATAAAGACATGTGGTCATGAGTCCAGTGTTCATTTACCTTCCATCTTCATGCTGAAACAGTGTTTACATCTGGATTAAGGAATGGACAATTGGGTGGGAGGAACTCCACAAAGATCATTCCCTAATTAGGTGTGTACAGCAAAACCTAAGATTGCCCCAAATGTCTACATAATGTGGTGAGTCATTCCTGTCCAGCCACTGGTCATTCTCAGGAAAAACATCATTATCTGTGAGCTAAATTTAACAGCATGTGTAATTGGTTGCTCTAAAATGTGAGAAAAAGAACTTGGTGTTGGATACTCATCTGTTATCAATATGTTGCAGCATTATCAGATCACTGCAGGTTATGTAATGTATGTTTGACAGTTTATGACTGTTGGGTGGTCTATTTTGCTTGCAGTGATTTACACAATAAGTATATTGATACAGGCAGGTAAGAGTAATACAATTCAGCAGAAAAGCAGTATAGTCCATTTTGATCTTAATGGCTTATTCGATTGCACCTCTGGACCAATTGTAGACAACTGTACTCAGTATTTACAAAAATCTGCTTCAACATTGAGAAACAATGAGAGCTGTGCATGCAGAGCTGTGAGCAAATACTCTGTTCGTGTCCAGTTTTTCACACAATATTTCAGTAATAATGATTTAGGTTAAGAGGAAAACTGTAAAAGCTGCCCTCTCAACTACAGCAGTAACTCTCTGGCTATAAGCAAAAAATACTCAGTACTGCTGTTCAGTGGTGATCGAATGTGTGTTATTAAAGAGTCATATCATGGAGAACCACATATTGCTTTCATTTTTAAATGAGTTTGATGTATTATGTAAACGTTGTTCAAGTTTGTACCTGTATCAATTTCTACCCAATGTGGTCTTTATATAGAACTTGAGCAGCA